TGAAAACTGCACTCTTGAAGCAAAGAACCGAAGATGGGAACCCGATTCAGGACCATCAAACAAGGCGTCTACCTAAATAGAACCAGTGGTGCATAGAAGTTGCCAAACCACTACAACTGGATACAACAAATGGTGCACTTTTGACTTTTGGCTGGACAAACCAAGCATCAATATCCAAAGAACCCCTCCAGAAGCCAACCATCTCATTCTTCACTAAGAGAAGAAGAAGAAGGCTGCAAGTGAAGAAATTGCCCACCATAGCCAAAGAATATAACTTTCAAGAATATATCCCAGATCAAAGAAGCATCTTGAACCAAAGAGAGGAGAGAGAGAGAGAGACCAGCACGAAGATGATTTAGGTGGAGAATGAGCCAGCCAGAGGGAAAAGAAAGCTCAAAACGAACCACAAAACGGCGCTAAGATACATCAACACTGAACACAAACAGAAGCGGCTCCACCAAGGTTAGACTACAAGTGGCAACACAATGGAGAGACAGAAAGAGGTGAAATGAATGACAGGAAATTTTTGTTGCTGCAACAAAAGACACTAGTGGGATACCAACAACTTTGCCACCTGTGCACCATACAAATGGTGATAAACCCTGTCATAAAGTCTAGAAGCATAAATCTACTGTAGGAGAACATCAATCCAGCTAGATATTATATGTCTGGACCAGTGCATGGAAAAACACCCAGGTTCAGACACAGGGCCAAAAGGGCCAAGGGTGGTCACCAAGGAGCCAGAAGAATCACCTTGCCCAATCAGGTCTCCATCCAGAGTGGCAGCTGTATCGGGGAGGGGTAGAATATGGGGAGAGAGAAATAAACTCCCACCTTGGCCATTCCTGCTGATATGCATCAAGTTTCTATAAGAAAGTGAGTCTCATGAGTGGGGAATGGAGCCACTTGAGATGTGAGCTGTTGGTTTCATGCTGACTGAAGAGGTCCATCTTGAAGCAACCAAATAACTCAGAGCCTATGGAAGGACATGTCATTGATAGTCCACACCATGGAGATGGAACAGAAGTAAGAAATCATCGACGAAAACATGGGACACACTACATGCCAATCACATGTAGAACTAAACTCCAAATATCCAGAAGCCAAGCTACTCACAGAGCCTAGCTCCAAAGAGGAAAGGACTAAAGTGACTTCCTGCAAGTCAGAGAATGACTGGAAAGCAGTCAGAGCAGAGCCTGGAGGAAGACAAACCCTCCAAAGGGCCTGCCACACCATAGCAAACACATTCACTGTACTGTGAGCCTAGTGGAGCAGCCTGTCCTCTTACAAAAAAGTGACAAAATAGAACCAGAGGAACCAGTACAATGCCAGAGCCAAGCCCTGCCCAGAGAAAACACTATGCATTCAAAACAAGGGCTTCCACACAACTGCTTAGCTAACCACCAAGTCACCTGAGACCAGTCCAACACCAGGTGGAGATGGAACTACAGGTAGATCAGAACTGCTGGGGGGGCAAAGAAAGGAAAGCTGACCAGGAATCCTAAATTAGGTCCAACCAGGTCCAAACCTAGAATGAATCAGCTTTGACTTCTGCAGTTTGCCAGGAAAAAGAACCCAACAAGTTGGGAACCAGATTCCTGGCTAGCAAACACATGGACTGGCTGGGAGTCCAAACCAACCAGTCAAGATAAGCCAAGACATGAACACCCAAGAGATGTAGCTAGGTCACAACTACCTGTGCTAACCTTGTAAAAATCTGAGGAACCTGATTCAAACCAAAAAAGAACTGTGAAGTGGTAAGCCTGGAGTTCCACAAGAATCCCTAACTAGTCTCTGAACCTTGGGTGAATATGAACGTAGCAGTATGTGACCTTGAGATCCAGGAACACCACCTGCAATGCCAGGTGTATCTGAGGTAAAATGGTCATGTGAAAGGTCAGAGGGAATGAAGTCATTCAAACCCAAGAGGTTGAGAATGTACTATACATCCTTACGGACCTGAAACAAATGGGACACCAACATAAGAGAAGGGGTCAACCCAACCATGCTCGAGTCCAAGCACTTTGCAATCACCACAGGAGGAACTGAAATAGGGCTACTGGAGCTGAAGAAGGTGCAAGGCAGGACAACGGAAGCCTCCAGGAATATAATGCATCTATGGACTCTAATGGGGACACATTAAGCACACCCTGGAGGATGTGCTTCAGCTCATTCAAGGACGAAAGGTAAGTACAGTCTTCTGCTCTGAGTGAAAGTCTCTCCACAGATGGAACCAGAGACCAAGAAATGTTGAAGCTCACTCTTCAGGTCCCCCTTCCCCCTCCCCCCACTGTCACCCATCCTTCCTGCCAGTCCCAGAGGTGACATGAATACCCCTGGAGCAGAGCTGTATTCTATGTCTGTCTTAACTGACAGGAAAGCATCATCTCATAATAAAGGAGCAAATAGACCCCTATGAGAAGTAGAAGGCTGTGAATCCACGGTGGTAAGGAACGGCTCGACAGTCTCTGCTGTAGAAGTGGATGGGACTAACCCTAGAGGCAGCTGAGCTACTCCCAAAACTAAATCCTGCTCAGACTCTGAAACCCTCAGATGTTTCAGATCTATGAGCAAGGAGGGGATAATAGAGGCATGGCAAACCACACCAGGTGGGGCTGGGGAAGGAGGAGGGTTGGCAAACTTGAAACATTTGGAATTCACCTACCGATCTACACATATCTTGGGGGGGGGGGAGGAGGGGAATGGGACCTGCTAAGGCTGGCGACTCGAGGAGAGATCCACACTCTGGGACATCGCAACAGGCCTGAGGTGTGAAGATATGGAAGCCAGGAGTTCCTGGTGGTGCTTCCACCTGTTGGTGTTCAGCCATATTTAGGGAGTTTGATTTGGTTATTAAATGACTCATTTGTTTGTCTGTGAATCTTGCAGTTGTCTGTATTGGTATGCTTGCTTTCTGGATATTCCTTTGATGAGGGATGATTGTAATAATTCCCTGCTCCCTTTGCCTCAGTTAAGGGACCAGGTTCTGGTTCTGGTCCTGATAAGCCATTCAGGATTTCTTAGTCTGATATGACTCATGTATGTAGAGGTACCTCAGGAAGCTAGCTTCAATAAGCCACCATTCGATCCCTGCAGAAAAGAATAGACTGTGGTGTCTGATGCATGGGCATACCAAGCAAAATGTCAGCAGGCATGTCACAGTGTTCAGTAAATGTTCAGCTTGTCCACAATTCAGAGGGTATTACATAAACTTAAATAGAGAATTTAGACCACTTAACTGATTTATGTAGAATAGTAGTAACTGTTATCTTGAGATCATCTCGAGATGATTTCAGAGCTTAGCGTCCCCGTGGCCCGGTCCTCGACCAGGCCTTCTTTTTGTTACACACCCCTAGGAAGCAGCCCGTAGCAGCTGTCTAACTCCCAGGTACCTACTTACTGCTAGGTAACAGGGGCATCAGGGTGAAAGAAACTCTCTCTCCATTGGTCTCCGCCTCCACCAGGGATCGAACCCGGAACCTCAGGACTATGAATCCGAAGCGCTGTCCACTCAGCTGTCAGTCGCCCTGTTGGAACTAATATTGTACTGTATCCACAAATATAGGGTATTATTGAAAAAAGCATAGTGTTTCCTAATGAATTGGTATCATTACACCCAATGAAAAAAAAAATTTAGTTTTAATGGTCCAAGCAAAATTCAATACCTATTGTAAAATTAATGCCTAATCCCAATAAAGATAAATTATATATTTATTAATAAATCTTCCTATTAATGTTATGTTTTCCCAAAACATTATGTGTGCTAGTGGCTTTACAAGAATGTAAGAACTCTTGTACTTATATAAAAAAAATTATACTGTAGTACACACAAAATACTTCACATTAATTTTCTAGTATTATTACAGTTAAATATTATGGCAATATGCCCTCCTTGGCTTCAGTGAGGTATAGCTATGCCATATTAATAGTTTTGCTGTACACATTTTTTGTTAAATCTATAGTACAGTACTGTAATTAAATCTATAGTACGGTACTATAATTTAAGGTTCAAAAATGCACTAAACTGATCTTTGTTTTGTAGAAAATTGGTTTTGACTATCAGTCAGTTTCAATGTGATTGGCGGCTTTTAAATAAACCGATTCTCCTACATATTTTAGGCAGAGCTCTTCATGGAAGAAGAATGGCTGGGGAAGTTATTCATGACTACTTAGTCCATTTCCTTTAGCATTCTGTTGTAGTGTACTTTTAGGAAACACATAAACATGCATTTGTATATGTATGGATATACAGTACTATAAAAACTCATCTTAGGTAACCCAAGATACACAACAAATTGACAAATGGACACCATAGAAGACGTCATCGATGCACGCCTGGAGGTCAGTGTTTTGTAGAGAATGGTTGTACTAGTAGTAAGTACATCCCCCTTGGTTTTTCAAAGTTTCACATTAAATTTTTATGGTGTACAATACTTTGGAAGTGTTAACTACAGTAATATTTGCATATGAAACTGTTAACAGAAATATGTATAATAATGTGTTCCTCCTGTATGTACTGTATTTAATAGTAATTTTGTAGTTCAAATACTTCCTAAGTTTACTCAGATTGTTATGGCATGTAGTGAATCCTTTAGTTCCTTGTTTATTACTAATTGTAGATAAGTGTACAGGAAATAGCCATTTTCAATTCTTGAATGAATGTTATTACAGTAATGCATTGTACTCTAGGGAATGTCCTGACAAATTGTCATCCGCAATTCCATAGAAATAAACATTCCATTCACCTGGGCTCTAGGAGATTCAAACCGTGGACCCCACACGTGCGAGGCCGAAGCTCTATCGACCGAGCTATTGTGTAGTCTTAATATACATGATGTGCGCATGGATCACTAATTTCCCTGAGCTTCAGTAGTAGTCAGGAAAAATCGAAAATTCCAGTTTGGCAGCAGGATTCTGCTTCTGGAAACTTTCCTTATTAAGACTACTCAATAGCTTGGTCGATAGAGCCTCGGCCTCACAAGTGTGGGGTTCAATTCTCGAATGGATTCATTTCTCGTTATTACAGGACATAACATGGTTCGAGTCTCCTAGAGCCTAGGTGAATGGAATGTGTCCTGACATTTGAATACCTAGGGAAGCACTGTAATTACACTATTTAAGTAATGTATTCTGTGAAATATAAATCAGATGCCTATGAATGTAATGATACCAGAATATGTAGGCACTTTCAGCATAGTAACTAGTATGAAAGGCTGTTGTTAAGAATAGGAAACATTAGTTGCAGCATCAGGTTTATGGGTAAAAATAATTTGAATTGTGACACAAAACTTTCACAAGCACAACAAAATTGCAGTATTCATGATATGGGTGATTCAGTATAAATAAGTGGTTTCATTATCTTGTTATCATCTCTGCTGGCAACTGCATAATCTATATGAGCTTCACAGTATGCCAGTGTAATAAAGTGCTGATACTTTTTAGAACATTATTCTATTCTTGATTTATTACCCAGGAGTTTCATCTACTTAGTAATGCAGAACAGTATTGCCAACCTGACTGAAGGTGTTCTGATATTATGGCATCATGTTGTGAAGGTAAAAAGAGTTTGTGTTAATACCCAATATAGTAGCTTGGATGCAGGGCCCCTAAAACTATCTAGGTTTCACTCCCTGGAGGCACAGATGGGTTTGCTTGTTCACATATGCATATACAGTATATACATACTGTACATGTTGCAGTATTTAGGCAGAGTTTGCCAGATAGGCTTAATAGATAGGGATCATTTTGACAGGATGGCCAAACACTCTGGCCATATGCTTTTGCTATATAGTACTGTAATTCTGCAAAAAATCGGTGTGAACGTAAATTAATAAATACGGTACATACTAAGTAAATAGATTATTGTAAGTATGTACAGTATATATAGTTTACAGTACTGACCTTAGCTTAGGTTGCTACATTAGTGCTGGTTCATTTTAGTTTTCATGTCCAGTCGTGTTGACAGCCCATCCTCCTGTTTTGGTAGTACTTACAGTAACGATGAGGATCATAGTACAGTACATAAACAGACGTACAATGCAATTAGAAAGTAGACATAGATACTATTGAATTTGGACAAACAGGATAAGATTTTCTATTTATGTTGCAAAGACAAACTAAACTAAATTAACCTATCCTAACCTTCCTAGGCCTAATACACAATCGTATTAATCTGAGGCCTATTATAGTACACATGTATGCTATACTAGGCCTAGGAATATTTAAGTTTTTGTTTAGCTTCATGTTTTTTGGACTATATAAAGTGAATAGCACAAAATTCTACTATTTAATTGCTAAGTATGTCAATCTTTGTACTATGGTGCCCATAGTTACAAAAACTACTATCTAATCAGGAGGATGGGTTGTGTGTGAATACTGTACAGTACAGTATATCTCTCAGAATATACAAATGCACTTGAAAATTAATAAGCAGATACAAATACCGCACTTTGCAAAAGTATCGTGGTTGATTTTGAAAATGTAGAATTTTTTTTAATAAAACAGAACAAATATGCCTGGTATAGCTCAGAAAACCCTTTCTCAGTTATTTTTTATAAAATTCACAATTTTTTCAATGGTAACAAACTGGAAATTACTGCTACTGCTCCTTATATACCCAGGCCAGGTAGAGTGTTTATGTGCTCATTGGCTACAGTGGCTACTCAGTCACTCGCAAACAAAACTGTTAGTTATCAAACACTTGCATATTTCCTTTCAACAAAAACTGTAGTAAGTTTGTTACCTTGGAAAAAAATACTGTTTTAATCAGTTGTGATGCTAGTACCTGTAGCTATGCAGACTAGTTCAATAGTGTTAGATATTAGTTAACTGTATTTTCTTTTACCACATATAAGTGTATATTAGACAAAAACAGATATTCACCTACCCTGTCTGAGGAAAGCCTCTCTGGCTTTCCGGAGCTATACCAGGCTGAGGTGTATATATATTAGACCCTGGCAATGGGTATCAATAGAGTTCTAGGCCTACCGGGGACCACGAGCCGGAACCTGGCCCCCTAAAAGAGGCACAAGGAGCAATGGCCTATAGATACCCCTCAGGTAGTTGGAAGCAGTCTATGTCTGCCATCTACCAGGTCAGGCACCCAGAAAGATAGGAATCCCAAGACAAACTACAGCTGGTTAAACATTGCAAACTGAAAACCGAACAAGCAAGCAGAACATCCCAATCGGAAAACAATCAAACAAGCATGATGTCACCACAGCCAATGCACCGCTGTCTGTGCAACTCCCCCCTCCCTGGGAGGGGGAAGTGGGTGTCCCAGGCCTCCCGTGCCTGCTACCCAACCCCAGTTCTGAGGCTGTTATGTTGGGTGGCGGTTGATCACCTCTGGCTCCAGTTTTCGAGCAGAGCTGTGCCTAGTGATGTTGTGCTGCAGTGTAGTGGTGTGCAAGCCAGGTGTTATTCCAGAAGTACTGGGGCTGCATGTGCCTAGGGTTCCCTTACCTAGGTGCCCTGTAAGTACTGCCGTTGCAGTTTGGGGTTACCTTCCACAAACTGTTCGGGGGCTACCTCCACAGGATTCATTTGCTGCTTGGCGATTGCCTGCCCTTGGGGTCCTGGGTTTTTTTCCTACTCCTGTAGGAAAAAATTGGCCTTGGGTAGGAGGTAGCATTGTCGCTGGCAGGGGTGCAAGGTATTGTGCCGCTGCCTTATTTTATATTTTTTTTTTATTTTTATATACAAGAGTTCTTACATTCCTGTACAGTCACTAGCACGCATAGTGTTTCGGGCAAGTACTTAATCCTAATTTTCACACACATACATCCCCAGGAAGCAGCCCGTAGCAGCTGTCTAACTCCCAGGTACCTATTTACTGCTAGGTAACAGGGGCATCAGGGTGAGAGAAACTCTGCCCATTTGTTTTCACCTTCCGCCGGGATCGAACCCGGACCCTTAGGATTACGAACCCCGAGCGATGTCCACTCAGCCGTCAGGCCCCCTTACAATATGCATAGCAGCTGGTTCTGTTCCTCCTGGAGATGTGCTTTTGTGGGGAGTTTCTTTTCTTTTGTTTTGTTTTGTCTGGTGGGGGTCTTCCTGGTGTGACTGTAGGACTACGTACTTGTATAATTTTGGTGGCCCTCTGCTAGGTCCCCTTGATTGCACACATTGCAGGGGTTCAGCATTTTGTTTGGTAGTTCTGGGATAACCGGTTAGTAGTACCTTGCCTGAGCTTCCCTTAGCAGTCAGCCTAAGGGCCCTGGAAACCCTCATTGAGACTCATTGGTCCATCAGAGGATACTTTCTCTGAGTCACATCTCACTTCATGTGAATTTGAAGGTTGCTCTGTTCCCTTGCCTCAGGGTGACACTCATCGTCTTTGCCTTCCCCATGCTGCCTGTTGAGTCAATGACACCTCTTGTCCTTCCCTTGCTGTGGTTCATCCTGCTCCCTCCCCTGCTCATGACTCATGCTCCCTGGTAGGCCTAAGAACTCCATTCGCTTGACTGATGCCAGGGTCTAATACATTCATAGCAGCCTGGATAGCTCCGGTGAGCCTCCAGGTCTCGCCCAGATAATAGCATTTCCTTACATTCAACACTGGTTTTTACTTGTGTTGCTTTGACAAACTAAACTAACCTAACCTTCCTAGACCTAATACACGATATCCGAGGCCCTAATATAGTACATATGTGTGCTATACTAGGCCTAGGAATATTTGAGTTTGTGTTTTAGCTTCATTTTTTTTTTTAAGAATTCCTTACTAGTCGGTATACTACAGTACTATGTAAAACCTAAGCACGTACGAATTCGTAACTATTGGTGATGGTTACAATAGGTACTATGTAAACAGGAGGATGGGTTGAACTGTGACATTGCTGTGTATATTTTACTAGTGTGGTGGCACTAATGTTATTATGTGTACGTGTATATTATTTTGATAGTATTTACTTTTAACAACCTTTTATTTCTCTCAATGTATTACTATTTATTTTTCATAAGGTAATTATTTATTGAACTTACTTTTAACCCTCTTTTCTTATAAGGCATTCTCCTTTCAAAATGATTGCCTTCTAATAGTGATGACTGTAGAGATACATTTGAATGTACTAATATTATTATTTCTGCATTATTGTATTTATAGTGTTAAAATACTTTTATAATATTAATGAGGGCAGTATTAGTGTGGTGACTCTTAATACACATCCATAACAATCATAGTTATGATCCATATCTGCCTTATTATAGTTTCTTAGACTTGTTATTAATACTGTACTTTTGTGCATGCAATACTGTGTATCTAAATATGCATGTCTTCAATTAAATGTCTTTAACTTATCTATATATTGCATAAATGATATTGCTTATTCTGCCTATTTCATTAACTGCATGGATAAAACTTTTGTTAATTTCAGTATAATGCTTGTACATGTATAGTGTGTTTTTTAATGAATAAATGGAAAACATCTTTCTTTTACTTATTTATATATATATATATATATATATATATATATATATATGTCGTACCTAGTAGCCAGAACGCACTTCTCAGCCTACTATGCAAGGCCCGATTTGCCTAATAAGCCAAGTTTTCCCGAATTAATATATTTTCTCTAATTTTTTTCTTATGAAATGATAAAGCTACCCATTTCATTATGTATGAGATCAATCTTGTTTTATTGTTGTTAAAATTAACGTAGATATATGACCGAATCTAACCAACCCTACCTAACCTAACCTAATCTATCTTTATAGGTTAGGTTCGGTTAGGTGACCGAAAAAGGTAGGTTAGGTTAGGTTAGGTAGGTTAGGTCGTCGAAAAAACATTAATTCATGAAAACTTGGCCTATTAGGCAAATTTGGCCTTGCATAGTAGGCTGAGAAGTGCGTTCTGGCTACTAGGTACGACATATATATATATATATATATATATATATATGTCGTACCTAATAGCCAGAACGCACTTCTCAGCCTACTATTCAAGGCCCGATTTGCCTAATAAGCCAAGTTTTCATGAATTAATGTTTTTTCGTCTACCTAACCTACCTAACCTAACCTAACCTAGCTTTTCTTGGCTACCTAACCTAACCTTACCTATAAATATAGGTTAGGTTAGGTTAGGTAGGGTTGGTTAGGTTCGGTCATATATCTACGTTAATTTTAACTCCAATAAAAAAAATTGACCTCATACATAGAGAAAAGGGTTGCTTTATCATTTCATAAGAAAAAAATTATAGTAAATATATTAATTCAGGAAAACTTGGCTTATTAGGCAAATCGGGCCTTGAATAGTAGGCTGAGAAGTGAGTTCTGGCTATTAGGTACGACATATATATATATATATATATATATATATATATATATATATATATATATATATATATATATATATATATATATATATATATATATATATATATATATATATATATATATATATATATATATATATATATATAGGCTGAGATATAGGCTGAGATATATATATATATAGGCTGAGAAGTGCGTTCTGGCTATTAGGTACGACATATATATATATATATATATATATATATATATATATATATATAAATATGTGTAATTAATTTAATTTCTCGCAAAACTTTACACATAAGGGGCCTTACAAAAATAAATACCCTTCAGACTTGTGATATGTATATGTAACTCCAAATGTGGAGTAAATTTGTATCACATACAAATTCATCTTTGTAAGTGAACAATTTTCTTTCAAAATACTGTAGTTAAAAAAAAATTGTTTATTTCTACATAACAATGGGTAATTAGAATTGTTAGCATGCTTTAACATATGGCTGTGCCATATGTTAATTGCCATATAGGTAGGTAGGGGTCACAGTGGCAGATGTCAGTGAACAGTTGCATTAATAGAATTTTAAGGGATTGAGTTCTGCTTACAAACTCTGGAAACTAGCAAAAAACAAGGAAGAAAAATCTTGTTATGGTATTATTCACAAAGAATCATTAATTAGAAGATTTTTTGCTTTTGGCATCATAAAGTAGCATCTAATAATGTGGATCATAAATTATTTTGAGGTCACGTTTGATATTTTTCTTTGGTAGCTCCTGCTGGCATTTCATTTACTCTCATCATACAGTACTAAAAGAAAGTAGCATTAATGTAGATTGAAGGGAAATATATTGATGCAAATTTCTCCAAGATATTTATATCAGTAATTAATATACATTAATGTGGAAGTTTTCCTCATTTAAACACATTTGCCAAGATACTAATAAGATAAAAAAAAAGCATGAATGAACATAATCTCAGCCTGTTAAATGAGCAGCCTATGAGTTAAGCCTAATTGCTGATGAATCATTTCTGCAACATCTCCCTGTTCTGTTCTTCCTCAGCATCTCCCGCCTTTCTTCCCCTCCCCACCCACACTCTCCACATATCCCCCCCACCCATCTCCCTGTTGAACCCTCCACCTGTCTCCCTTCTCTCTTTCCCTCTCTCATTCTCTTTCTCCTCCCTCCCCTCACCTCCCACTCTCTCCCTGTCTCAAAAATTTAATATATTGAAGTACTGAAAACTGCTTAAAATCTCTATTGAAAACAGATCCACCATTTTATTTCAGGCTTGATAAAAATCACATTAGGGTGGCTATAGATGCCCATATTTTTTATAGGGTGATACTTGGGCTGACCATGAGTGGCTTATGACACTCCCATAACCTCCTTCCATGTTTCATTTTGGAAAGTTGGATGAGGCTAGTCCCAAGCATCGGGCATCCTACTTTGGACAGACAGACAGACAGACAGAGACAGACAGAGGGACGGATGGCATTCTACTTTGGAAAAATGGACGGACTTAAAAATATCATTACATTTACTGATATCAGTAAAAATATCACTGTTAAAAATTATAATAACAGTACCTATGACTGTTAAAAATATTAATGACATCATTATCTAATGGCTGAATAACAAGTAGCTGTGATTATAATTTTTTATCCATGCCATCATTGTAAGTACTTTCATAAAAATTATTCATAAATTTTTGCATCGGTGGATGTCTAATTGTTTCTAACTCTTAGCTGGTGTCTGACGTGGCAGTGATACACGAGGTGTGTCTACAAGATAGGATGTCACAATTCTTTGGAAAGTTGGCAAGAGGTCTTGGATGGGGTCCACAACCAACAAAGGTTAGTGTAACACATTTGTCTAGATTTATTTTACTGTACACATTACTATACTCATAAACAAAGGATGTACAGTATGGGTATTCTTAAAAGTTAAAAGCAATCGTTTAAACAATTGTAGAAATTCAAATTGTCATGATTTATAAAATATTAGAAAAGAAAATTTATAATGTAATTTATCACAAAGCAAATTCAATGGGATCATACTCAAGCATAAGCATATGGAGCCAGATGTGTGGCTCATATGCTTATTTTGTCCAGATATTTTGAAGGACATGACAATAGTTTAAGTTTTTTATCTTCCTTTGTAGACTGGCATCATCAGCTAACATGTTAATATAGTTCTGTATTCCTTCTGCTAGATCGTTCATATAGACAATGAACATTACTGGTGCTAGACTATGTGGTACACCACTTGTATCTCCAGTCTGATAAATTGCCTCCGATTACCACCCCTCATTTTTCTGTCAGTTTGAAAATTTTTCAACCATGTCAGCAGTCTGCTTGTCACTTCTCCAGTACATCCCAGTTTCCAGAATACCCTCTTATGTGGGACTCGATCTAAAGCTTTTTTTAGGTCCAGATAAATGCAGTTAATCCAACTGTCTCTTTCCTTTAAAATCTTTGGCTCTATCGTAGAAACAAAATAGATTTCTACACACACGATCTTCCTATTAAAAAAACATACTGTCTGTTTGTTATTATATCACTTCTCTCCAGGTGTTTTACCCATTTGGTTTTATTTTTTTCTAGTGTTTTGATTATCATACTTGTCAATGATACAGGTTTATAATTAAGAGGGTCTTCTCTGTTGCAATTTTTGTAAATGGAACTATATTTGCATTTTCCATATACAGTGGCACCTCGATTAACGAGTTTAATCCGTTCTGGCACCGAGCTCGTTATGTGGAAAACTTGTCTTAAGAAACAAATTCCTCACTTAAAATAAAGGAAATAAATTTAATCCGTTCCACTCACAAAAACATCCATACTTGTATGACATTTTATAATGTAAATACAGGCATACCTCAGAATACGAGTTTAATCCGTTCCTGGAGACGCCTCGCCTTCCGAAAACTCGCATTCCGAAGTTAATTTCCCCATAAGAAATAAAGGGAAATGAATTAATCCGTTCCTGACTACCCCAAAAACCCCACATCAAACTAAATTTTTATACCTAATTTACCTAATTCATCTAAATAAACCTACAAAACTGTGTTCCAGTTATTACTTACCTTGCTGTCGAGTGCTGTAGGCGTATGGAAGATGGTGAGGAGGGGGAAGGAGGAGAGGAGTTACTGTTTGGAAGGGGAGTCCCCTTCCATAATCACATCACATAACCCCATGCCTTGTAACACTATGGATACCACTTCTCTTTCTAAATTTTTCAAACCAGCCCCTGCTTGCCTTAAACTCTTTCTTATCTGCATCACTCGTTGCAGGGGTATTCTTTAGAAGGTCTTCGTGCAACACCCTGGCTTTCTCACAAATAATGGCCTCCGAAACACTATCACCCCTCAACTCCTTGTCGTGTATCCAAATTAATAACAACTTTTCCACTTCTTCAAGTATTTGTGGTCTTTGTGCTGTTAATGTTCTTACTCCTTTTGCCACTTTAGCACCCATAATCTTATTTTTCTTCTTAAGTATAGTGCATATTGTTGATGTGGCTTTGTTGTACTGCCTACAAAGTTCAACAACACGTGTACCGTTCTCATGCTTCCGAATGATCTCTTGTTTCTCCTCTATTGTCATCCTCACATGAGCTTTCTGGCCTTTATCCTTACCACTGGCTTTCTTGGGACCCATGGTGAGATATATAATAACAAATTGTATAGACAAATCACCAAAATTCCAACAAAACACTGAAAATCCGCGAGAAGAATTGATGTGGGGGTAGTCACTGAACGCGAGACAATGGTAAACTGAGGGGCGGCGGGGCGGAGGGGCGACGATCGCCGAACCACCACGCGCTAGGTCGGCCTGTACGCGTTTCAACAAACTCGCGTCCCGAAGTAACCCTCGCCTTCTGAGACAAATTTTTGGAGTAAATACTGCTCGCCTTCCGAAAACCTCGCATACAGGGACAATCGCATTCCGAGGTACCACTGTACTAGTATAATACTACACATATAATTATAAATGTTTTGTTGTACTGTTTTCATGTTTACTTTACCTTATGAAGAGTCGATGCTGGCTTGAGGGAGACGATGGGGAGGTGAGAAGGAGGAGAGGGGTTATGGTGTGGAAGGAGAATCCACCTCGTCTAATCAGTCAGGCAGGCTCTCTCTTCTTGGGAATTTCACCCCACTGGGACCGGGTTGTGGTTCACTATCACTGGCTCTTCTTTTCTCTACTTTTGCAAAGAACGTATCTATTGACAAGTGCTTTTGTCTTTGTTTTAGGATGTTCCTAAAATGAGACAGCAAATTGTCATTAAACATGTTCACACACTGGGTTGTCACTGCTTTATCAGGGTGATGCTTTTCCAAGAATGTGGTCACCTTTTCAAACATTCTCAACACTTCCCTGATCTCACTGGAAGAGGCAGCATCCTCCCTTACCTCCTCATCCCCTTACTAATGGTGCAAATTGTTGATGAGGCCCTGCCATACTCCCTTGTGAGATCAGTCACACAGACACTACGCTCATGCTTTGCTATAATTTCCTTCTTCAAATCCACAGTACTTGTGTCTTTCTTCATCTTGACAACACTATCTTTAGCAAGCAGCTTCTTTGGCGACATCGTGTGTTACAAATTGTAGTTACAAAAGCACAAATAAATGCAGAGGGATGCTTGTCGTGCATGATACAACAACACTGGCGTTGGAGGCGTCCGAGAATTTGGGAGAACCCACGAGACGCTAGGAAGCACCATGTGGTTTTGCTCATTAATAGAGGTGAAGCTTGTCAATAGAGACAAATTTGCTGCGAGTGGCTTGCTCGTAAATAGAGCAGCTCGTTAATCGAGGTGCCACTATATCTGCCAAGACTCCTGATGCCTGAAAAATAAATTGGAGTGAAGTGCTCAGCTCAAATGTGCTTCTCTCTGAACTCAAGGTGAGACTTCATCTGGGTCAACTGTACTTTATTCCTATTTAGCCCCTTGAGCATTTTTAAAAATTTGTCTTGTGTCATGTCTATGTACTGTATGTTATTCTCTAAAATTCGTATTGTGTCTGATTTTCTGAAAACTTCATTTTGCACAAATACACTTTGGAACCATTCATTTAGTGTTTCACACATTTCCTTTTCATTCTCTGTGAAACTATTCCCCATTTTCAATCTATGAATTTTATCCTTTACCTGCCATTTTCTTTTAATAAATTTATCATACTGTATAGGCCTGGTTCTGTCTTAATGGATGCATTGTTAGTTGGCTCTGTTTCCTTGTTTACTTGTTCCAAGGATTGTAATTCTTGGGTTATCTGCAGCCTCATTAAGTCTAACTAGACTGCATTCAACCTTCTGGCCCCATGTGATGTTCACAAATATGCGGCTTTGGTCTCATTCTGGAGTTGTTTGGCAGCTTCAAGGCTTTGTTTTCTGTTAAATTTCCAATTGTCTGTAAAGATGTGCTGACTTTCTGGAGGCTTTTTCCATTGGGGTGGTGGATTGTCACGTGCTTCCTGCACTTCTGTGAGGGGAAGGGACAGGCTCTGGTCCCCAATAGGACAGAATATCCATGACTGATGTGACCTTTTAGTATGGAGCAGTCTCAGCAAGATAACTTCAGGGTGTCACCGGAACTCCTCCAGAAAGTGGCATTTCATTACATTCAATGCTGGGTTTTTCTTAATTATCTTTCCTCTTTTGTTCATGCTTACCAAGATAATATATAGTTCCCTTTCTCCACATTCTCACTTATTACCAGCAAGAAGCAACTTTATTCTGTGCAGAACTTTTAATAAAATATTTCATGTATCTGAAGAAGTTGCATTTATTAATGAAATCTGGATGATAATTTCTTGTTTGGCTGTTTTGTAATTGTTCAAGATTATGCAGCAGTGTTTTGTTACAGGTTAACAGTATCAACTGGTGTGACTATGCCAACAGAGCCTTCACATTCGTTGAGGGTACCTTTATAATTGCTCCTTTGGCTGAAGATGATATAAAAGAAGACCCAAATCTTGCTTTTGAACTAATAATCCACAAAGAAATTAATAGTTCACGAAATGCATATAGGTGAGAGTTGCATTTAATGTGTGTTATATAATTATCAGTACAAAATTTTACACTTTCTTGTTATGTTATTAGATATACTGTATATGCTCATTAGACTAAATGGAAAAGTGTGTATTGTGTTGCATGATAGTACAATAATAAGAGGAACTATATGGTGAAATGAGGAAGTGGCAACTATTGGTTATAAGAACATTTCTGGGGGAGCCCTGTCGGCTCTCCAGAGCTATCCAGGCTGAATGGATATGTACAACTTTCTGGCATCATCAATGTGCATGAAGTTCTCTCCTACCAGGGACAACAAGCCAAAACCTGGACCCCTCAGAGAGGAGCAAGGAGCAATGGCCTATAGAAACCCCATGTGGCTGAGAGCATTCCATGTCTGCCATCAACCAGGTCTGGCACCCATAAAAATGTAGGCACCCCAAAACAAACCCCTATTCTGGTGAAACTATTGCTACCGAAAGCCGAATGAGTGGACAGAACTCCCCAAATGAAAATTGGCAAATGAGCATGATGTCATCACATTGCCGTGCCGCTGTATGCACAACTCTTACCCCCCCCCTCCAGAGGGGGAAGGGGTAACCCCAGACCTTCATGCTGGCAATCCAACTACCGGTTCTTTGCTAATGTGATTCTGGGGTAGTCTTGTGCCTCTGGCTCCTGCTTTTTTGTCTTAGTTCTGTGCCTTGTGGCATGGTCTCTGTCTATAGTTGGTGTGTGAGCTAGGAGTAATATTCCACGGTGCTCGGACTGCATGCGCCTAGGGATCCCATCCCTAGGCACCCGGTAAGTAATGCCCTTGGGTTTTAGGGCCGCCTTCCATAAGTCTCCTTGGGTTCTGCCTCTGCTGTGTCTTACTGCTCAGTACTTGGCTGCCCTTGGGGTCAGCTGGGGTGTTGTTGCCCTTGTTTGTCTCTGGGTAGGAGGTAGTTTTCATCACTGGTAGGGACTGGGGTACTGCTAAGCTAGTTATCATTTCTCATAGTGGCCGGCTCTGTTTCGTCTGGGTACGTTGTCCTCTTGCAGGGTTTTTCTTTTGTGTTTTGTTCCTGCTTGGTTGGCGGGGTCTGCCTTCGTTGGTCTCCCTAGCTGTTGTTGGGGTATATATATACACATGTGTATTGGTGGTATTCCCCACTAGGCCCCCCATGAGTGGACATGTCCTTGGGGTTCAGCTTTTAGAAGTTTGTTTGGTAGACTTAGGTGCTGTTTCGCAGTACTCTGCCTGGGCTTCCCTTAATGTGTAACCAAGGCTAAGGGCCCTGGGGACACACCACGAGGCTCCATGGTTCGATGGATGTGACACCTTGAGTCCCCTCTTGCTTTGTGCGAGATTGAAGGTTGCTCTGTTGTCTTGTCTCAGGGCGACACTCACTGGTTGTGCCTCCGCCATGCTACCTGTTGGGTCAGTGATTCTTTTGACCTTGAGTCGTGCGACGTTTGTTGCCTGTACGTGCTCCAGTTCACCCAAGCTACTGATCATGATATGAGGGTGCAGGCAGCTGCTGCATTGCATGCTAGGTTCAGGTTGCTGTAACACGCTAGGTTGGTTGCATCCCCGGATGCCCCCAAGACTGCCCCCTTTTGGTTTTTGGAGACCCGGCCTTGGGGGTAGGAATCGCTTCGACTTTGGTTCCGTCTGCCCCTCCTAGTCCTTCCTCTTCTGTTGTGCATCCAGTTCCTCCTCCCTTGCTTCCGGCTCCGAAACTTCTGAGGGTTTCAGAGTTGGGGCAGGGTCTAGTTGGTGTTGAGACTCGGACGGTCTCGGGGACGTCCCCTTCCGGGGTTGCGGCAGAGGCATTCGAGCCTGGTCCTCCAGCCGGAGCTTCGGGGTCTGACCAGTGAGCCTCCCTTTGTTCCTGCTTTTTCGGCTGCTCCTGCAGATTTTCTTTAGAAGCAAGGGGGTGCGGAGGACAGCTCAGCCCCGGATCCTTGGTGCGAGGTTCCTGGGGCGTGGGAGGGGTTGGGGGCCTACGGCCCCATAGGACCCTGCTTGGGATTTTGTAATCTCGGAGCAGGGCTTGGTGTTCCAGGGTGTGGGATTCTCTTTTGCTCCCTCCTTGTACGAGTTGGATATGGCATCTACCCCTCCCCTGGTTTGGTTCAGTGTCCCCGACAGTTCTTCATTCCGTCTTTCTTGAGATTTCCGGAGTCCAGTCCCAGTGGATGCGGGACATCCTTGCGGCTTACCTCCTGTGCGACCCGGATTTTGCTTTCATAATGGATTCACGTTCCTTTGTGTATGGATCTTTGTGTCCTTACTGGGTTGGTTATGAAGTTCTAGAGTCATCCTGGTTAGCAGACTGGCCGTCTTCTCTTAGAGGCGTGGCATACATTCTGCCAGTCCCGCACCCTTGAGTGGTAGGAGGCTCAGACAGCATTGCAGGTTTTCCTGGGGGGGGGGGGGGGGGGGGGCGCATTTGAGCATCTCAATGAGTGCTTGTTCACCCCTGCCCTTCCGCAGGATGTTGGTGTGATGTAGCTTCATGAACAGGTTCCTTCCCTTTCGACTGCATTGGTCACGGAGGACTTGTGTACGCGGATCAACCCACAGCCGGCGCCGTGGGTTGATCCAGTTTCCCTTCTTCCCTGTTCCCGGTCTCGGTTCTGCCAGGTCGTCCGCAGGATTATTATGGCTAGCCAGCCTGTGGTCTATCCTCATGCCCACGACGTGTGTAAGTTTGCTGCTTTGGCTGCTGTCTTTGGCAACATGTTTTGGGTTGATATTCAGGCACAGGGTTTTTGGGTGTCCAACAGGGTCCTGGCCGCTCGCTACCTTGTCAATGTCCCTGGACCTCATAGGGCCTGCGTTGCATTGGGTCAGCGGTTGTAGCTAGTTGTCTCTGCTTCGTGTCGAGGAGTGAGGACTGACCGGCTGCCTGGGTAAGTTCCTGTTTTTCCTTGTCTTTGGATAGTTAGCTCCGGAGAACCAACAGGGCTCCCCCCCAGAAAACCAGCGTTGAATGTAATGAAATGTAATTTACTGGGTGAGTCCCAGAGGCTCCCCGGTTTCCCTCCTTCCCTCCGGTCGGTATTTTTTTCACGTATTTTGACATCATGCTAAAGAACTGCAGGGTGGATCGATCGATTTTTTGCTAGCGTCAGGGTCTGGGGCTCACCCTCCCCTTTCCTGGGGAGTAGAGGGGGGGGGGTTGCACAGACAGCGGCCTGATGACATAATGACGCCATGTTTGTTTGTTAATTTTCGTTTGGGGAGTTCTGTCCACTCGTTCGGCTTTCGGTAGCAATAGTTTCACCAGAATAGGCATTTGTTTTGGGGCGGCCTACCTTTCTGGGTGCTAGATCTGGTTGATGGCAGATATAGCATGCTCCCAACCACAAAGGGGTTTCTGTAGGCCTTTGCTCCTCGTGCCTCTCTTGAGGAAGCCAGGTTCTGGCTCATGGTCCTCGGTAGGCAAGAATTCCGTGCACATTGACTGATGCCAGAAAGTTGTACATATCGATTCAGCCTGGATAGCTCCGGGGAGCCTCTGGGACTCGCCCAGAAAATGGTGTTTCATTACATTCAACACTGGTTGTTTTTCTCTTGTTTTATCATGGTGACCTCATCATAGAGCATTATTAATTATGTTAGACATGATCTTCTCTTCTCCATGCAATCTTGGTCACAAATTTTATTTTGTCCTAAGTAACTTAAGTAACTTATTGGGGCATATGCTCATTAGTCTGAGGAATATTATGGTTCTTTTAATTTTGCTAAAATTCCAGAATTTTGACACTAGATGATAGCATCAAAATTATTGTTCATTAATGTAATATCTGTCACAACTGTCACAAAATTAAATTACTGTAATGCAAAAGAAATTGTTGTTGGATCTGTGTGTTATTGTAAAGAGGTGGTACCAAGTTAACAGCAATACAGTATCATAATACAGTACCATGAGACCTCCAGTCCTCACTGTAGTGGACAAATGAGTTTTAACTACTGTACATGACTACAGTATTATATATGAATTGTTTTCTTAAAATGTGATAATGTATATATCAGAGTCTGCGATTTTTATCATGTACAATAATTAGATATTGCCCTCTATGCTTTCAGCCTTTTGAGAACATGCACAGAACTTGAAGCGAAAGATGCTTATGAAGCTTACCGTAAAATATTACTGCCACTGGTAGACTCTTGTGGGAAAGAAGTTCTTTGTCACAATATCCTGCAGAAGGTCCTTGATGTTCACAGAGAACACCCTTCATGGCATGTGGCACACATCACAACACACTTTGGATTCTTAGAGGCTTTAAAAAATGAAGAAGTACTAAGGTTAGAAAATGCATATTTTTTAATTTATATTTTCTTTTTTCTGTTTTTTTTAACAAGAAAGTACAGTGGGTTACTTTGTCAACAATTTTATGTAAATAATTAATTTTCAAAACGTTTTAATAACATGAATAATTTTATAGCAATAATTACTCAAGAATTCAAATTTTTCATGAGAAAGTCTTGTAATTTTGTGTCTTTACTGGCAGCTACCTCAATGTGCCTGAGGAGACGGAAGGCCTCTACCCCATTCATGTTGCTGTTGAAAATGAAAATGACAAAGTTATTGGAGCATTAATAGCAGCAGGTGCTGCTTTAGATGTAACAGACAAGACTGGTAACACACCTTTACATATTGCTGCTTCTAAATCTGTGACGGTTATCCAGGTTAGTACTTTTTCGTAAAGTTTCATGCAAAATTTAGTTACTTTGGTAAGTGGCATACTTATAATGGATGTTTTAATTTCAAATAAATCGTACAATGCCTCGCCTCACTCCATTACATCTATAACCATGCTTGGTGAGAAGAAAATCCTTTATAATCATTTTACATGTGTTATAAAGGAAGTTCTGGGAGGGCTCCATGATGGCTCCTTGTTGCTAGCTGCCAGATTACCTCCACACATACGTTACCCCAGGCAGGCCCTTGCAAGTCACTAAAATGCCTCTTTCTGGTGATTCCCTGGACTCTTCCTATTCCTTTTCAGTTGCATTGGTTAGTTGCCTTTTTTTTTTTTTTTTTTTTTTGCTACTAACCAATGCAACATGTTAGTTACCTAAACAAATTGGTAACACTGCTAAACTCTAAATTTATATATTTTTTTTATTAACCTCATCTAATATGTCCCCCTTTATTTTACATGTCTCACATTCTTTCTCTAGTTCCTTGATTTGTCCTTCCTGTTTCCTTGCCTTGTCAGTCAAGCTGGCAATTTCCATATCCTGTTTCAAAATACTGTCTCAAAGTATTAACCTGGCTCTTGAGCCCTTCATTTTTTTGTTCTAAATTAAGAAAACTTTCTTAATTTTTCTTAATATGTGATAATTTTAAACCCTTAGAAAATACTTTGTCATCACTAACTTGCCAAGAAAATCATCTTCCTGCATTTGGTTCTTAGTAAAACCTTTGAAATCTGTGTCCCTTGTTGTCTCCACTGATCCTGTCCTATCTGCCATCTTTGCTTTGATGATGTGTGCTTTGGTTCAGTGTCCCTGGCTAAACAAATTTTCCATATTTGTATATTTTTCTCAACAGTCACCACTCTCCGCCTTATATTAATGATCTTGGAACATTTATGGTATTTGGAACACCATTTGCTTAGCTCTCTCCAGCACTACTACTACTACTTAGATATGATGCAATGATTGTGCAGCTCTCTAAGCCGGGCCTTCTGCTTGCGAGTGGTGTGTGCTAACCAGGCAGCTAACAACAGGGAGCCACTGAGGACCCATATGAAAAAGGCATTTCGTTATATAAGTTTTTTTGTCGTAAATTTCTTTGACACACTTGTGCATAAAGTTTGCCATTCATCGTTCTCGTTAGTATGTTCTCACCGCATTCGTGTTTAAATGATCTTCATGAATAACTTGCCATTTAACCCAGCTTTAGTTGATATTACAGTGAAATGTAATTTTTTAAATGTTATTTATTTATAAATAGAGTTATAATTTTATATTTCTGTATTGTATTGTATTGACTTAAGAAAGTTACAATAATTTATGTTAGAGATATTTTAAAGAATTTATAATTGTAAATATTTGTATAACAACAACCCAAGCTGTGTTAAATTAAAGTTTTGTATTTCAGGCTCTAAAACTGAAGCATCATCCTATATTAAACCAGAAAAACCACGCCCAAGAGACACCCTTACTTCTAGCTGCACAGTGCAGTAAACTGGAAAATGTTAAGCATCTTATTCAGCTTGGATGTAACATTAACCACAAGGAAGATGTACCTGATCCTGTGGACAATCAGTCATATTGGGAAAAAACTGAGAAGCTCATATTGTCAAAGGACATTAGTTCCAAGGTACAAATACTTAAACCAGAAGCAATATTTCAATTACTTTTGATCAGCACTTGATATTTAATAGTTGTAGGGTTTTATACTTTTCCATAAGGTCTTAGTTGTATTTGCACTATTTGTATTTTTTTATTTTAGTATGCAATATACAATTTTGGATAAATTTAATAACAGTTTTTCTTCAATAAATATGCAATATGATAATTTGAAAAGATTGTGTAAAACATTTTGTATGACTTTTATAGGATTTGCACAAAGGGGGAAGTTTGTTGCACTGGGTCAAAACAAGGGAACTCATGGACTTGTGCCTGGATATGGGCTGTGATCCTGACCTCACTAATGCTCTTCATCAAACCCCTTTACATGTTCTGGTAAGAGTGTGTATGGTCTTGGTTTTACTTGAATATATAGCAAAGGAAATGGTAAAAGAAATTGATGACTTAGAACACTTAATATATTCATGTAATAAACTATGATTTGGTTGTTGGTATAGGTATCAGATCTGTTCTAATAGATTTGCATCATGATACACGTATAACAAATTTAACAATACTGTACAAAGCAAAATATTAAATTTTATTTTTCACATGCAAAAATTTCAAAAGCAGGAAACAGGAACAAGAAATTCCTATTTCCTGGTCACAATAATGGGTTATGTGTTGGTAAGGTTTAGCTTTCTCATTCATACACACATAATAGATCTTCTAGATTATAAACGGTAGATTACTGTATTTATGAATCATCGCAAAGTTCTGGCAAAGATCCTGCACGAATATAGACAAAATTATAAGCATTTTGTTCTGTTAATAAACAAACTATTATATGTACTATATTTCAAATGTCTGTCTATATGTGTGTAATTACTTGATTAGATACCTTATAATTTTCACATAAAAATGTTTGTTTTTCTGGAAGAGTTGTTGGTGGCTCCCCTGAATTTATCTCGCCAAGATGGCTTCCCCTGCTGAGTCACGGCACCCATAATAGTCCTGTATGGCTTAATATAAAATGAAGCACTGAAACAGCAAATGACTATACAAATGATTCTCTCAATTTGAAGTGATTCACTCAAAATGAGTTCAAACTCCCCCGTGCAAAAGATTGTTAATAGGTGATACCCTGGGACTTCCAGGCTCCCACACCAGCAATGAGTCAGGCCTGTCACTGATATCTGAGCACTTAGACCTTCCCGAGTCACTAAGCCATAACAGGTCTCATTTCATTCCTAGATAAATGTCGGTAATCCTTTGGCCCGAAAAATGTGGGCTTGACAAGTCGATCCACAATGGGCCAAGCCAAAGACCCGTGAAGGGATTGCCAGTGCCTCAAGGTGGTGGCTAATCAAACAGAGACCCCAGACACTGGATATGCTCACCAGCCTGGTCGAGGTCGAGGTCCTGGTCGAGGACCGGGCCGCGGGGACACTAAAAAAAAAAAAAAAAAAAAAAAAAAGCCCCGAAATCATCTCAAGATAACCTCAAGATAACCTCAAGATAACCTAACCAGAAGAACAGTCACCAAACAGAGCCAAAACAACCAGGCTACAAATGGGGACCATGGCACACTGTATAAACAAGAATGTGAATCCCAGCACAACCAAAAGAATAACCCCAGCCAAGAGCCCAAACAGAGGGGTCAAGAACCCATCAATAGCCCAAGGCAAGTCTTTCCACCCTGGTGCCTGGCCTCTCAGGGGCGATCTCAAACACACAAACAGCCAGCATGTGGAAAAGCTTTAAAGATTTCTTATAAAGAAAGTGATCTAGGCATGGTTTTGGACAGAAAACTGTCACCAAAAGGGCCACATAAAGAACATTGTTTAAGCATATGCATATGCTCAAGGAGCATATGCTACGCTTTCCAACATCAGAATCACCTTTAAATATATGGATGGTGAAATATTGAAGAAGTTGTTCATGCCATTTGTGAGACCACTTTTACCCTACACACACAGAACAAACTGGCGGACTTCTCGTAGTGTTCAAAAGAGAGCTTGACAAGCACCTTCAAAGGATACCTGATCAACCAGGCTGCAACTCCTATGTGAGTGATACTTCATACAAGCAGTGAGTCATACGTCAATGATACATCAACTTTTGATAACTCGATCAAACAAGCTGTTACTTGGAGCAGCCCGCAGGCCCACATATCCTCTACAACCCGGTTGATCTGGGAGTTCTTGCAGGAACTTATCTAAATGCTTCTTGAAGACATCCATCTTTGTTCCGGATGCCTTTGTGTATGGTAGATCTCGGATCCCCAAGCCCCAAGCTCTGATTGCAAAATTGGGGGTCAGATTCTAGTCCTGTCTCCTAATTTGTCAATGTGGATCTCAGAAGCCTGGCACGATTCATGGGGTTATCAGTGCCAGCACGTAAACACTGGGAGGTCTCGAGGGCCTACCAGAAAAGGACATTTCACTACGTTTAATGATTTATTGTTTTAATTTAATAATTCAAACAGGGTTATCCATATTTTTGGATAGATTAATTTTTTTTTTAATATTTTATACTTTTATAATTTTACATTTTTACATAGGTTTTGCGGAATAGAATACATTGCATTGTAACACTGTTGTGTCGAGGAGCAAAAGCAAATTGTGCTGACTTGGAAGGCACCACCCCACTGCATTTAGCAGCTGCCCAGTGCTCTACGACTTTAGTTCAGGTTAGTCTGAATAAATCTTTTTGGAATTATGAATATATAATTGATACACAGGAATTTAATAAATTTAGGATAAAATGCTAATGAGTTTACATGTATTCAGCTCCCCTGGCAAAATATTTGTCAGGTGAGCTCTTGTGTGACGGAGTGTCTGTCGTCCATTATTTTTTATATATCTTTTTTCTGTGGGGAGCCCCTTCTGCTCCCTGGAGCTATTGAACTGATAGCCAAAGATGTTGCCGAAGATGGCAGCCAAGGCAGCAAACTTACGAATGTCATTTTTCACATTTTTTTACCGAAGTCGAGGCGTACAAATAACGCCAAAGAGCTGCAAATGGACACAACACATGATGCACCCCAGGCCTGACAAACCAACCAACCCAAGGGCCCCTCCGGAAAGCCGCCATCTCATTCTTCGCTAGAAAAGAAGAAGACGGCTGCAACCGAACAAACCGACTACCAGGACCAAAGGAGCAGAAACCCCTGTGCAGGAAGAAAGCATGAAGCTCACCAATCCGACCCCCCCAGAGGTCAATGCCAACAGAAACAGAGCCTTGGAAAAACTATCTTGAACCGAAGGAGCCACCACAAACCGAGGAGAAGAGAGAAAAGAGAACACACTGTCCAAGGACCAGGACGGCTCAGGCAGCGCATGAGCAGGCCATAGGTGAAACAAACTCCATTGACTAATGCCCTAGACTAATATATCACATATCAGTCCGATAGCTCCAGGAAGCCTCCAGGGCTCGCCCAGAAAATGGTGTTTCATTACATTAAATGCTGGTTTTTTGTTCATTTCCATACATATTTACCAGTTTCTGCAGACATTACATACTGTTCTTGTAATGCTCTATACTCTTGCAGACACCTCACCTGCCTAGATGTGCTCTCACTTCTGCTGCATTCATAGACATCCCCACTTACATATTATACCCTTATTCCATTCATACACATCCCCACTTACATATTATACCCTTATTCCATTCATACAGACACCCTATTCGCCTATTTATGTTCTACGTGTACACACACATCCTACATTTCCACATAGGCCCTCACTCGTATAGCCATCCCATCCTCATCTACTGTCATTCTGTCTACATTCTTCTTTACACCCACATACTGTATACCTTCACTCATCTATGTTATGTATCTCCATCTTTTCATTGCATTAGCATGAATCATAGGGTAAATTATGATTATGAACAAACCATAATGTTCAGAAAAGCAAGTTTGCTACATGAACAAATGACTGTAGTTTAAACGTAAAAACAAAAACTCTTGTGCGCAAAATAAATAAGCTTTTAATAATATTTATTTTTCAGATTTATAAGTACAGTATATTTATGGTTTATAAAGTAAAGAGCTATATAACTGAATATATAACAATAATTTTAAATACAGTCACTATTCAAATAGGGTACATATGCCTTTCTTCTTCTTCACAATACGTGCAGTTTGCATGAAGTTATATCCTCCCAATGACTGCACGAGTAGTAATGTAGAAAGATGCACATGCTACAATGCACAGCGGCACATCAAAGGTCACGATATGACAGAGGCAGGAAGATAACGACACCGTCCACGTGGGTGAGGATATAGGCAAAAGAAACAAACAAGAGGAAAGGGACGCAGGACGGGAATAATGAGAACAGAAGGCGAACGCAAAACATCGCCACAATAGAGAAAGTAAGGGATGTAGGCAAGAGACGGAGGGTGGGAGGCGAAGGATGTGTAGGAGGCAGGTGTGAAGCAGATGTGAAAAAGTAAAGGAGGTGGGAGCAGAGGAAGGTACAAGGAGTGAATGTGTAGATGGTCAGAGAAAATCAGGACCGGACAGGTGAGGTTAGGACAGGGCAAGGTACGTAGGCAGAATGCGGAGCCTTACAGCGGATACGCAAACGCATCGGTCTTCTTAGAAGCGCCAGCAGGCCAACAGGAAGAAGACCTAGGAGAGTCGCGAGGACAAGTCGTGGGAGAGTGTGGTTTATGGGGCCCGTCAGGCAAGGTGGCAGGGAGCTTGGAAGTCGGGACGACGGAAGATTGCTTCCTCTTAGTACCGGGGGTAGAAATTTGTGGCAAGGCAGCCTGGGGAGAGACACGGGAAAGGCGCACCAATGAGTTTCTCAGGGCGGTGTCCAGCATCATTTCAAACGCATTGGAGATAGCAGAGGCAGTTGTGGTAGGTTGGACGTCAACCATAGGAGAAGCGGAGGAGGGATGCGTCGGGCCAGCCTCAGGAATGGGGAGGATGGACTGTGGAAAGAATTTAGTGAGGAGTTGGACCAGCGCCTTTTCAAGGGCATCCACAACGCGAGTGACAATAATGTAAACAAGATCAGGACTCGGTGGTACGGCGTGTGGGAAAGAAGAGGTCTCAGGGGTGATAGGAACATCATTGACAGACAGGTCATGCCCAGGCAAAGGCGGCGGCAGAGTGGGAAGCAGGGTGTGATGAGGAACTGGGTCAGAACGTAGCAAACCACAACTGGAAAGCAGGGTGACAGCGGGGAGAGGCTTAGTGAGCGCCACTATGTAGGAAGGACATTGCTTGAAGGTGATGGCATGATCATCACCACAGTTGGGGCAGCAGAGTATATCGGACATGTAGGCACGAGTATAATGGGAACCAGAGCATTTGCCACATTTGATATCGTTGGTGCAACCTTGTGAGGTATGGTGAAAACCTTTACAATGAAAGCATGGAGTGGGATGGGGGGGACTTACACCTCCAATTTATGGAGGAAGCCATTAATCCAAACCAGATCAGGGGAAAAGGAGCCAAGAAAAGTAAGGAGGGCAGTGCTGGTATCACACAGTTGACCATTAGTCCTACACAGAAACTTCCTGGCACCAAAAATCGAAATGTCAGCATTCTGTAGTTGTGCCTTGATGTCGTCTGCACCAATGTCAACAACATGCCGGACCACATAACGTACCAAACGGTCACCCAGAGGTGTATAGCAACGGACTTTGTAACCACAGATGTCAGTAACGTCCGTAAGCTCCAGGTCCTCGGAGTGATTGTGGTCCACCACAATCGAAGTTCCTGCATTTATTTGGTCTGATGTCGTGCACTTTGATCTTAAAGAACATGGGAATGGCATGATAAAGGAGGCTTTGCACCCTGTTATTTCCCAAAACGCTCTAATCAATGGGCGTATCGGCATCAAAGGCAATGATGAACGTTTGTAGTCCAGGAGAACTCGTCCTATGTTGAGCAAGTGGAGAGCGTAGAAACGAAGGCCGCGGAGGGTCACAAGGTACCTCAGTTTGTTGGCGACGTTTTGCCTCCAATCTATTAGCCTTAATATGATGATTACTGTCCAGGAAAACCCCCTCTGGATTCCCCTCCAAGACCAGGAAAACGATGCAATCGGAATGCGTGCCATGTAACAACGGGTCCTGAAAGGGGAAAAGGAAAGGGGGATCAAAGGGAATCAGGAATGTCACTGGGAGAGACGCTGCGTGCACCACCATCCGTCGTCATGGTTGGCCGGCAAGTCCCCCACACTTGCCTTTAATTTAATATAGCATCATGTGTGATAAGTTCATTATGAATTGATTTAAAATGATTTTGATTAATAAACTAAGCACATTCCTTTCTTTATAGGCCTTCATTGTGTTTGGAGGAGATATTAATGCCATGAATAAGAGAGGAGAGACACCAAGGCATCTGGCTGCATCTTGTAAAGTGGATGACAAGATAAAAGGAGCTGAGAGAGACAAAGTCATATATCTACTGCATACAGTTGGAGCTAAAAGGTACAGTAGCTTCTTCGTATTTAATTTGTCAAGTGATTAATTTTTGCAAATGATTACGTTAATGTTTCTTAATGAATAGTTTTTTATTGGTTTCAAATTTACAGGTGCCAAGTAAAATTAGCTTCATGTTCAGATGGATGTCTGGATGAAGGCAATTTTAATGGTGTTCCACTCTATGAAAAACCTTTACTTCGTTCACGCTGGATTATGGATGAATATCTCTCAAGTAATCAAATAGCAGAATCAATAAGGTAGGTATTAAGGTATTTCAGTTATTATTCGACTTTATAAGCAGTGTTATTTCTAAAGGAACACAAGTCATGTGCCTGTAGATTGGCTTCCATTTTGTGGGACAGAAAGCTTGTTAAGTTTAGTGATGCCCCTCTTTCGCCAGTTAATGGCCTACAGGATACCTATTTTCTATTAGATTGATAGACGATTCGGGTGTAAGACAATATGGCCAAATGTCTCGTTGATCCTAGGACTTGAATCTGGGGACATTCGGTTATGAGCCAACTGTGCTGAACTCTTGTGCTTTCACAGTGTAACCTAATTCCAGACATTCAATTTTTATCTATTTGCCAATTATAGTGTTATCTTTTGCAACCAAGAAATCAATGCATAAATGTTAAAATAAGGCAAATGGTATCGTGGGATTTATGTGTACTGTATAATCCTCAAATGTACCAGCAATACAAACAAGCAAGAAACAACTTGGGGGACCATCGACAAGCTGCCAGCTTCCTGTCCTCGTCGAGGCCACTAGGGTTAGTAGCCCCTCAGGTAAATCAGGTAAAAATCTATGCTGCAGTGAGGAAAGAGGCAGAAAGAATCTTTGAGAAAGGTATAGTGGACAAATGTAAAAGAGAACTAGGCCTATTTTGATAATTTATTAAAAGTAATTTCGAGATAAAGGATAAAATACAGAGGTTGAAAATGGGAAACAGATTCATGGAGAATGAAAACAAATGTGTTAAACATTAAATGAACAATTCCAAAGTGTGTTTGTGAAAAATTAGGTTTTCAGAGAACCGGACACAATACGAATTTTAGAGAATAACATGGAGTACATAGAGGTGTGTCTTGGGATGAAGTGAAACTGAAAAAACTGGTTCCATTCAACTGTTGTTATTGTTATAAACAACCTCCTGGTGCTTCGGAGCTCATTAACTGTTTAATAATTGGAAACAAAGCCGCCAAAGATTGAGAAAAGATGTACAGGTTCGTTAGTGCTTGTGTAAGTGCTTTCGTGAATCTGGCCCCAGGAGCCAAGCCATCCCCCCAAAGCCCCAGCCACACAAGAAAAGGCCGGGGCAACCGAAAAACACTAAGGGGGCCCACTGGTCAGACACATACGCACCGGCAGGATGAATAGGCTCAAATGCCTCCGCCGCCACTCCGGAAGGGGAAACCTCTGAAACCACCCGAGCCTCAACACCAACTAAACCTCACCCCACCCACGAACCTGCTGATGATGCAGAGCCGGAAACCAGGGAGGGGGAGACCGGATGTACAACAAAAGGGGAAGGAAGGGCGGAAGGTACCAAGATGAAGTGACTCCCATCCCAAGTCCAGGTCCCGAAACCCAAAACGGGGCAGTCTCGGGGCATTCGGGGAAGTGACGAACTCATTGCGTTGCAGCAACAGAGCCCAGCATGCAACGCAGCTGCTACCTGCACCCTCAGATCATGATCAAAAGCGAGGTTGAACAGGAACACGCACGAAAAGCAACATCACATGACTCCGGGTCAAAAGAATCACCGACCCTACAGGCAGCACGGCAGAGGCACAACCGGTGAATGTCACCCTGAGATAAGGGGACAGAGCAACCATCAACCTCGCACAAAGCAAGGGAGGACTCGAGGGTCACATCCATCGGACTACGGATGTCCACTCGTTTGGCTTTCGGTAGCAATAGTTTCACCAGAATTGGGGTTTGTCTTAGGACGCCTACCTTTCTGGGTGCCAGATCTAGTCGGTGGCAAACATAGAATGCTTCCAATCACATGGGGGTTTCTATAGGCCATTGTTCCTTGCTCCTCTCTGAGGGGGCCAGGTTCTGGCTCATGGTCCCCGGTAGGCAAGAACTCCATGCACTTTGACTGATGCCAGAAAGCTAATAATTACATATCAGCCTGGATAGGTCCGGGGAGCCGACGGGGCTCCCCCCAGAAAACTTCCTATTGCCTTCAGTATATCATGAAGAGTGTTTTGCTGACTGTATTTGGTACAGATGGCACTCCTCAGAATTCCAGATTCAGCGTCCTTTATAAACTGAACTTTTTGTTCAAAATTGACTTCACTGCTTGTTGAAACCCTGAACAACAGATTTCTGGCATTTCATAATGCCATTGTGGCAGGATGCAATATATATTCACAAATATAAAAAGGTGAAAGAGGGGGGAAGGACTTTGTCCACCATGGGGAAACACAAAAACAAGGCTGAGTCGTCGGAACAGGTGCAGAGGTCGCGCCATTGCAACTCGATGGCCAGCAACTACACAGGCCCCTTGAGGGTGGAGGTGCCTGGGGTTGGACTTGCAAACAAATGGTTGGAATAATCGGATGGTTAAGATTCAGAAAAAGACAAAACACACAGCCCATAGCAGAATGGACAAACTACAATATTCACTCACTGACCTTCCACCACCTCTGATGATCTTCATGCTTCTTCACTGTGGCATGTTGCCTTGACCACTCCGACTAGATGCCATCACACCTCGTCCCTTCCTTGAAGCTGCTGCACTGCATAATATTTTTCATGCTGTGTCGCTTCCCATGGACCAGGTGCATGAACCCGTCCACATCACATTGCCTGTACCTTGGCACAGGACCTTTCTGCTCCACCAGTGACCCAGGGTGACAACCATAGTTTTATTTTCTCTACAGATATCTATTGGCATTGGAGAGGGGAAGTACTGTAGCAATTACATCAGAACTGTTAGCGAGTTCTGCTTCATCAGCACACTACTCTCACCCAGTCAACAAACAGCGTTGGTCCAAGCCAAGCCAGCAGATGAACATACTGTATAAGCCTGCAAGAGAACAGATCTTAATTATCCCCAGCTCATCAGCAGTACCACCACAGAGCAGCCAGGAGCAACACCTCTGACCTCCCTTGGCCCAGTTGTCTCACTGGATGGACTTAGTCTACAGCCACCTGACTGCCACCAACTGTGATCTGACATAACCACCACCTGCAGTCTACAGCCTCATCTTATGGCACTTAGTCTCCCAGTGCCTTATCACCATACATCAACCAATGCAACCATTGAAATAAATATATATACTGTTAATTATCTTGTGTGTTTTATATACCCTGACAGAAGGAACGGTAAAGAGTTTAAAGAACATCAGTCTGTATTCAAATTATCTACAAAACAATACCCAAGTGTGCATGCCTAGCACTAATGCCTCAGTCTCAAGAGGCAGCAGGCTGTGGGAAGAGCTACTGTAAATGTTAATTGGAAATTTTTTTGCTGCTCTGTTGACAGTATGGGTGCCGACATCTTGTGGTGGTCTGGAGTATCAGCCAGGCAGGCCAATAGCTAGCAAAATAATACTTGATAGTTTCTTTGAGGCTGAGTAGTACTTGGGGTTGTGAGGGTTTGAGAGTATATGAGTGAACCTTCTTTAGGTCATTCTGAGCTGTATTAAGTTTTATCCAATCTTCTCCTACCTCCACTATGACTTGACTAGGACTTAAAAAATGCCCTACTTCTCCGTGAAGTATATGTCGACCAAACTTGACTCTGTGTTGTACTGTCCTTGGGAAGAGCAGGACATTGCCAAAGGTAACAACCAAGTACAGCATTACAGTTCAGAAAACAAGACAGAAATATATACAGTTCTTACACTAAGTACTGAATAATGCCACAGAATATTGGTGCTTGGTCATTGGCCTATTTCTCACCACAAAAAAAAAATTATCACTATTGAACTTATTTATACATGATTTGTAATACTATCATATATTTCATAATCTTTTTTAGCTGAGGATCATTGAGTACATGTTGATATCATATAAATAACATAAAATAATGAGCATCTGAATTTTATTATAGTGATGATAATTAATTATTTTAACATACAGGTGGCAAGTAACAAATCGCAGTAACCAGCAGCGCACTGGTAGAGTGCTGTGCCTGGACGGAGGAGGAATTAAAGGACTGGTCATGACACAAATGCTGTTTGTCATCCAGGAGATGCTGGGGAAACCTATTCAAGAGTGTTTTGATTGGATATCTGGCACCAGCACTGGTGGCTTCTTAGCTCTGATGTTATGTTCAGGTAATAATATAAAAGCTTGGTAAGTGTGTCATACTCAAAGATAAAGTTTATTTTTCCAATTATGAAACCAGTTGGTATTTGTAAGCGTTACCATTGAAAAGCTGCATGAAATGCCTATTCCAACATTATGGTTCTGTTATTTGGTTGCATTCATTGAGCAACGCTATGGGTGGATAACCATAGGTTCCAATGCTTGGCCTTGTCTCACAGCTGCTTAGGCAACCTCAGGTGTATCACTGGGTACTTGATTTGCAGAAATATGTAACTTTCATTGGGCTTTTCTGCCATGATCTGTAAAGAAATCCAGACTTTGCCTTCTGGCAGTTAAACTGCACCTTTGGTGAAAGATACCTTCCCAAGGCAATTTCTCTTATCTTGCTGAGACTCCTTGATGCTGGTGGCTGTTCTGGTGCCTGTGCCTACAACTTCTTTTGGTTCAGCAGTATGCTGCCCTGCTAGCAGCCTCCTCTAGGCACCACTCTGCAACACAGTAAAGTGTTTCTATGCTTATTCTTCATTTTAAACACTACTTAAGGAAGCAACCGATTGTAATAGCTCAGAAATAAGGCTTTGAGTTAATGAGAAGTTCCTTTTTAAAATGTATCATTTAGCACCTGCTGTTCCTCATCTCCTGTACTAAAAATTCCTTCTTAGTTTCAGGCCATTGAACCCTGGGGTGATCATTTGTACTAGCACCTAGTTACAGTCAATAGGGGGATCAGGCAGCCCAGCTGGTGGTTATTGAGAGCCAACATCTGGTAGTCATCTGTGATGCACATGAGGGGTAGAGGCTTTCATGGAGGATGTTGCTTCCGCTCAGTTCCGCAAGCTTTCTTGTGCATTTTTTCACCTCCGGCCTGCTCATGCACTGCCTGAGTCTTTAGACAGTGTTCTCTCTTTTCTTTCTTCTTCTTCTTCTCACTTTGTTGTGGCCCCTTCGGTTAGGGATTGCTTTTGGAATTCCTTGTTTTTGTTGGCATTGGCCTCTGGGGGTCGGGTTGAGGAGCATCATGCTTTCTTCTGACATCGGGAGTTCTGTTCGTTTGCAACCTTTTCTTGAGTAGAATGAGATGGCTAGCTTCCGGTGTGGTCCATTGGTTGTGGATGCTTGGTTGGTTAGGCTGAGGGTGCATCACATGTTGTGTCTGGTAGCGGCTTTATGCCACCAGACACACAACACAGGCCACTGGTTCTGTGATGGACACTCTTTGGGTGGATCCAGATTCCCTGGTTCCATGGCTCGTGTGTCTCAGTTTGTCCGCAGTGTCATCAAGTCCAGCCAACCTGGGGTTACCCAGGTTGGGTATAAGCCCATGACCTTAGCAAGTATACTTTTTTTGGAAGTTTTGGCAACTTGTCCTGGGTAGACATTCAAGCATGGAGGTTTTGGAGGTCAAACAGGGTCCTGACTGCCAGGTATCTAGGTTTTTTTCTAGGGGAGTTATTTTTATCTTTTAGGATGTAGACTGCACAGATTAACCAGACAGTGGTCTGTTTTGATTCCCCTACCTTTCTAGTTCCTTTCTCCAGTCGATGGTAATTATGACATACTTTAAATGTAAAGTGCTTATAGGTCATTGCTCCCTGCATCTCTCTGAGGGAACCAGGTTCTGGCTTGTGGCTCGTGGTAGGCATAATAACTCCTGTGACTGATGAACCCAAACTAATATAGCATACATGAGTTCGCATAGCTTCAGGGAGCCTCGGGGCTCACCCAGAAAATGACATTTCATTACATTGAACACTGTTTTTTTAACGAACTGAAGTAAAATTATCCAAATGCTGTACAAATTGATTTTGTTTACATAAAATTGGTCCCATAGCACTCAACACATATGCCATACTATTTTATCAGTACTGTATGTATGGATCCATAAATGAGAGTGAAAGGGTTAAATAAAACTGTATACTGTATATGGAAGGGATATTTGATGATGATTAATAAATAAATCAGTTGTTGTTAAAAATAGAATGGATGTAAAGTACACTGGTACCTCAGTTTTCAAATATAATCCGTTCTCAGAGACAATTCGAAAACCAAAACAAATTTTCCCACAAGAAATAATGTAAATTGAATTATCCGTTCCACACTCCCAAAAATATTAACTAAAAAACACATTTTATACAAAATAATACTCTAGGTATCTTACCTTTATTGAGGACTCTTGTTGGCATATGGAAGACAGTGAGGAAGGTGGGAGGAGAGGTGTTAGTGTTTTGAAGGGAAGTCCCCTATCATTGTAACAGCAGTGATGACATTTCTGGGGTAATCTCTCTTACATTTTGCAGGCATACCACTAGGACCTGGTTGTGGCTCACTGCTTGCTTGTTTTACTAAGAATCTGTCTACAAACTCTTGTTTTTCCTTACATTTTAAAACTTGTGTGCAGTGAGACTCACTATGATCACATTGTCTCACTATGAATGATCTCTTGTTTTTCCTATGTCGTCATCCTCACAACTATTTTCTTAAGTTGAACTTTGCCACTGACTTTCTTGGAATCCATGGCATGATATATAATAACAACTTTTATGTTTAGAAACTAAATAAAGCACAAAAAAACTAAATTCTTCACAAAGAATTCAAGTGCGGTCGTCTCTAGGCGGGAGACACGGATAAACTGAAGCGCGCCAAGTGCTCGGTTGGCCCATACTGTACTTGTATCAACAAACTCGAGCACAGAGGCAAACTTCGAGTACCGAGTCAAATTTTTCAAAGAAATTGAGCTCGAGAACCGAAAAATTCAAAACCAGGGGCATTCAAAAACCGAGGTTCCACTGTATATTACTCTAAAATTATTTGTTTAATAAATTTTTGTTTTCACGTACCCAACATAATTCATGTGATCATATTAACACATTGGTCTTCCTTTAACAGGGAAATCTGTGCAAGACGTACAATCACTGTATTATAACCTGAAGGAAAAAGTGTTTATTGGTGGGCGACCCTATGTAGCAGGGCCATTGGAGGAAATTTTAATAAAGGAGTTTGGCGAGGATACAATGATGAGTAGCATTAAATCTCCAAGAGTCATGATAAGCTCTACTCTGGCTGATCGACTACCACCTGATTTGCATCTCTTCCGTAACTATGAGTCTCCAATGAGTGTTTTAGGTGAGTTTTAAAATTAAGTTGTTTGTACCAATAAAAATAAAAACACAAATCCAACACTCTTGAACATCAACAGCAAATTGAACTCGGACGTATAGGTTTAATTTACCTAAAAAAATCTTAAAAGTTATTCAGGAAATAGATAAATGTATATTTGTCACTGCAACTAATGAAAATGAGGACATTGATGAAATATTTTTTCAATGCTGGAGGAAGATAGTAAAAAATATCATACAGTATAGAGGGTGAGACATGTATGAAACAAAATAATCATTGAATTCATAGAAATTAAATAATTTGAAGGTGATACAATTTTGTGCAGTATGAGAAATGAGTGAGTAATGTAGAGAAGTGTATATATATAGTACTGTATACTGTATGGTAATTAAGAATATGTATAGTGGGTAGAAGAAAAACTTGAAGGACTTTGAAATACTCTTATGTTAATGGCATTAAGAAATGAAAACAGTTTTATGAAATATAGACATCTTGACTATGTATACTGTCAATGCTTTCTGCTTATTATGTATTTCTGATGCCATTTAAGGAGACACTTTAACTGAGTGTGTTATGACACCCTCGACTTTCCTACCTCTATGAGTGAGGGTGGGGCAGGATTTTGCTCCTCGCTCCCAATAAACCATGAAAGAGTAATATGCCTAGTGAGATGGTGTTGACTCTGGGTTACCAGTGTGTAAGTTCTGGAGAACCACTGAGGGAACCACTCCAGCAAAGTTCTATAAACAGTACTTGGCAGTATGAAGCTAGTTTATATATACTGGCATCTTGCCATCACATATGATAATGATGTCCATTATCTGTTTTTTAACTCCTCACTTCTATATTCTGTGTTTAGATTCATGTGACTGATATTTTTAATAATTGTGGCATTAATACTTAAATACAGATAGGGTAATTTTGTGGTTAATGGGTCAGATGTCAAAGATACTATTGTATACAGTATGTAAACTATATTTGGTTTATGTTCGGCTTATTTCATCTGCTTAGTTCACTTTTTGGAGGATGTATTCGTCCACTTAATGTAGATCAAATTTGCCTTTAATTTCAGGAATACAAGAAAATAATGTTTTCATGACTACACAGGCACCTGATAAACAAAAGATGTGGCTTGCGGCTAGATGTTCTGGAGCTGCCCCTACATATTTCAGGTATTGTTTTCAATATTACTCTTAAATTTTAAAGGTGCCATTTCTCTTAATTATCTTAAATTTAAACAGAACAAAACTAGAGGTACGCTAGTGTATCTGTGGGATTGGTGTATTTTTGTGGTACAGTACTGTCTATGCTTGCTAATCTTAATCACGTGGTCTCCCTACCCCGTATGGAGACTGTATGAGTTACCTGGACTTGTGAGTTACCCAACTTTTTACCAGGAAAGCTAAAAAATTTATATATTCATAATTTTTTGTATCATAACCAACATAATTTCTATTGCCACATGTAGTACAATAAACATAAATTTACACTGTTAGGGAAAGGATCTTCATATACATAGAGTACTCAAGTAATTTATTGACAATAGCAGAAATTTCAACTTGTTAGTTCTTCATCTTGGTTGTTGAAGGCTTCAGTTTTTCATTTACCTAAATAACCCAACACTAAAATTACTGTACAAGAAAAATTACAGCTGCTTAGGCTTCACTGGTTGAAAGGTCCTTGGCTTGCCAGTGATGCTTTACTTATTGGAGGTTTCCTGCTGAGGCTTTGCTGCTTGAAGATCTTTGGCTTTCTGTTTTAATCAAATAAGACTCTGGTTTTGCTTGTTTCCTTTTTTCACTGGCCTCCTCTATAATCAGTTCTTTGGTCTGCCTCAAATACTGATACATACAGTATTTCCAACTTCTGGATTAATGCTGTTGGATGAAATATTATTTACTTTGTCAATATAAGTCATGAGGTCACTGTATTTAGTTGTCTGTACTTGGCTAGTTGTGCTTGCGGGGGTTAAGTGCTGGTCCCGCCTCTCAACTGTCAATCAACTGGTGTACAGATTCCTGAGCCTACTGGGCTCTATCATATCTACATTCGAAACTGTGTATGGAGTCAGCCTCCACCACATCACAGCTTAATGCATTCCATTTGTTAACTACTTTGACACTGAAAAAATTCCTTCTAATGTCTCTGTGGCTCATTTGGGTACTCTGTGGTGTTACACTCTCTGGTGTTACTTCCTTGTCATTCTCTTCATCCAACTCATCCTCTTGAATAGTACAGTGCATCGCATTTAGACATATAAATCGCCAAAGCCAAAAACTGAGGAACTGAAAGTCATAACGGCTCACAAAATTAATGTAATGTCCTGTTTTCTATTCATGGGTCCTCAGTTTGGGTTCGGGCAATTTAGTACATCACTTTAGTGACACTGTGAATGCTAGAGGCTGCTTCATCATCCTTGTCTTCATTCACCTCACCAGAAACAGACTGGAGAATCTCTTCTTCATTCATCACACCATATCCTAGGTCATTGGGATCTCTTTCTAGCCATTAAACCATATCATACCTCTTAGATGTTACCCAGCATGTCACAACTTGCCATGGATTGCATTAGTAAATCCTTCAAAACTCACATCTTCCTCCTCATTTACTGGAGCTGTGAGGAATTTCTTCCACAAATTCTTCAAAGTCAACTTCATGACTTCACTCCACATTTTGACAATTATATATGGCTTCCTTTATCAATTTTTTTTTTTTACATTTTCAAGTGTTCTTTTGGCCTTGGTACCTACATCTAGTTCCTCATCTTCCTCAGGAGGTAAAACAACCAAGACTTCATTCAGCATCTTTTTGGTGTACAACCCCTTCGTGGTGCAGATAACACCTTGATTAATGGGCTGGATGAGAGGGGTAGTATTAGGAGACGTGCAAAATATGTTATGTTCCCATCATTTGAGGTTCAAGTGTCAATATGGGGGTGGGCAGATGCATTGACAAACAAGAGCAAAGCCTAATCTTCTTTTGGTCTCACTTTGTGTTTCTTGATTTGATGGTCACTAACTTCCTTGCAAAAAATCACGAAAGAAAAATCCCCTCTATGTAACCAGATAGGGTGAGTGAAGTTAGTCATTCTCCAGTCGATGTTGACCAGGGTAGTAGGGGAGGTGTGAACTGGATAATCTGCCATGGTTTTGAGGATGTTAGGATGTTCTTTGATAAAGTTTTGTTGTTTTTGCATTGTCAGGCATCTTGAAAATTTTGTATGGTCTTACCAATATATTGAGATCATGGGGGCCAACAGTCCCCATATGGGCATGTGAAGGCATAGACAACTTCTCTCTCAAGATGTTTCATTGGTGTTAGATGAATTATTCATAAATAAGTTAGTTGGTAGTCTTGTTACTCTTGTAGTAAATTGTGATTTGTATCATCTGGTTATCTTGAGGTTATCTTGAGATGATTTTGAGGCTTTTTAGTGTCCCCGCGGCCCGGTCCTCGACCAGGCCTCCACCCCCAGGAAGCAGCCCGTGACAGCTGACTAACACCCAGGTACCTATTTTACTGCTAGGTAACAGGGGCATAGGGTGAAAGAAACTCTGCCTAATGTTTCTCGCCGGCGCCTGGGATCAAACCCAGGACCACAGGATCACAAGTCCAGCGTGCTGTCCGCTCGGCTGACCGGCTCCCTTTAGTTTTGGTGGTGGGGGTAATGTTTCTGTCAGTGATGTCTTTCTGGGCTCTTTCTCTCTCTCTCTCTTTTGTTTTGTGAGCTGTTGAAATGCTGTTGTATAATAGTTTAATAGGTACATCATATTTTGAAGTGTTGGTCATTTCATCAGAGGTAGCATGGCAGGTCACGTTCTTTTTCATGATCTCTTCAACATATCTGTTAAGAGTATCCATTGTTGAAAAGAACTTGTCTTTACTATATTCCTCATGAACCTGCTTCAAGCTGGTACTGTGTGAGAGCACGGTTGATATAGGAACAAGGGGGGGGGGGTTATATTGACCCCTTGCAGTCCATGTGAGCCCAGAGGAAAACTATGCAATCCAATACGGAGCCCAGAAAGGGAAGTTTCATTACACTCTGTGCACTATTGTAATGAATGTTGCTTTGTCTGAGCTAAACTATCACCATCTAAAAATGACTGGAATTCCCTGTATCAGCAGTGCCAAGCTGTCATGCTGTATAACTCTTCATGATCCTGGCTTTGAACTAAATTTGAAAATTACTTGTTCAATGCTCATTACTAAGCTAACATGGGAGCCATATTCATGATATTTCTTATACTGATTCAGTTTTGAAGGTACTTTATTCAGATATATAATACCACCACAAGTGTACAATCAAAATTTGTTTTTTATTTTTAATATAAGTGTATATTTTCTGGTGTTTTCTCCTCCAGAAGTAATTACTACATAGTAGCAGTATTAGATTAATTATTTTAAAAGCAGTGATCTTAGAAGAGTAATTATTTTTGTTTTGTGACCTTATTTTTATTAGATGTGGCAAGTCAATGAAGAAAGATGAAAGCAGTAAAAGAACTTTGAATACATCCACTAACATGTGGTAACTATGATCTGGCAGGTTGAAGTTTGTTTGAACTTGCAATCACTGTACTTGCAATATAATTCTTTAAGAAATTAGGCTTTTTCCTAATAAAAAAAATTCTGCATGAGATCAGCAATTAAAGTACTGTACAATATGTGCATTTGTGATTGATTTTCATTTTAGCATGAGTGACAGCAAGGTTGCCTGAAATAATTTTAACACATACTGTGCTCTTTTTATATTATGCTACATTAATAATACACTAATATGCATTTTGTAAAATGAAAGGTTTTTCACAACTCATAAAAATGTACATCTATATTGTTAATTCATCATTAAATTACAAAGGCACTTTTCTGAATAAAATGTGACTTAAAATGCTGTAGATATAAAAAAAAAAAAAAAAAGGAAAAATGACCATGTATCAATTTTTTAGTTTTAATTGGCTTTCAGGAAAGTATTCTTCAATGGAGACAGTGAGTCACAATAATGTGACTGAAGATATGATGAACAAACCAAACCTCAGAAAATGAAGAAACGATGATGTTTCGGTCCATCCAGGACCATTATCAAGTCGTATCACACGACTTGATAGTTATTCTGAAAGGACCGAAAAATACTCATTTCTTCATTTTCTGATGTGTGGTTTGTTCATCATTCTTCAATGGACTTTTTTTATTCTTAAACCTATATTTAGATCTCCCAAAGCAATGTTCTGTATATACAGCTGTACACGCAAGATGAACAATGCCACTACTGTTAACCAAAATATCTTATCACAGCTTCATTATTGGCAGTATAGTTATATTTACTTGTAGTGTATTATAGTCGGTTTTGAGAGCTCTTTTACACCCCAAGCCTGAGTCAGGCTGGTGTGGTGATAACTGTTGCTTGCAGCGGCCTGCAGCCTCTCATGTCCACTACACCCCAAGCCTGGGCCAGCACCTAGCAATATTAATTCAATTCTAAAACTGAAATGGCATTTCCTTGGAATGTGTGGAAAATGTCATTACTTTTAATTTATATAAATAAAATTGAAAATGTTGTTTGAACAAGCTCTTGTAAGTATTATTAAGGGGTTATAGATTTGTAAGGAATTACTTTTGAAACTTCACACTTCCAACACTTGTTGATCATGAAGTTCCTCTGCACAGTGATATGAAATAAAGAACAGTATTTTATATCTATAAATGTGGATACATGATTTCTCAGGAGAAAATTATCTTATAATATGTTTACTATTGATTCTTCTAGTGAGATTCTTCTACATCCTTAGCAGTCTGCTTAGTTTTGGTTTCCATTCCTTCTGGCTCAGTGTTTGAACTCGAGCATCTTTCAGTAGATCACTCCAAAGTCCTTCCTTGCTTGTTTGAGTCTCTCCTCTGACCTTTGCGTGTAGTTTCTGATTCAGGTCTATAGTCATCTATACAGTCCATTGGTGGCTTGGCTCTTGGTGTCCCACCTGTGTCTTTTGTCACAGTGACAGTATGAGGTTTCTTGGGGTTCTTTTCATCTTTTCGTCAGTCATTTTTTTCCCTCTGTTTTGGCTTCGGAGGCTCTGTCCCTTTTTGTCTTGGCAATTTGTGGATTGGTATTTTAAGCTGAATTCTGTCCCCTTCTCTTGTTTGACCTTGGTGGGGCAGCTTTTGTTTGTTTTTAGCGTCGATACTATGCTGAAAGAGTCATTTCATTACATTCAACACTTTTTTTTTTTTAAGGTTGTTTGACACTTACCTCTTGCCAGTTGATGTCCCCCTCCAGGAAATTCTTGATTGCTGCATCTGGTTTTGTTGTTGTTTATATATTCACTTTTATTACACAGTTGAGGATTCCATTTTTATGGTACCTTCCCTTCCCTCGGGCCTAGTCATCTTTTTCTGCAACTTCAACATTTTCCTTTCATTTTTGGTAAGAATATGGCAATTCTGAGTTCCAGAGGGAATGTTTAGTTATAGACTCTTGGTTTGTCCAGCCAGAGGTGCACCATATGCCTTGTCCTATGACCAAAATTTGGTGTGATTTTGTGATTCTCGTGTTGTGTGGATTTATACCTTGTTTGTGGACCCTGTCTCCCTCATTCCTTATTACAAGGCCTGCTTCTCCCATGTCATTCAGCAGAACATTCGGCATATCCAACTGGCAGTTTATCCCCACTCTCATGATGTATGGAAGTTTGCTACTGTCAGTTTGCTTTGCCATTATGTCCCCTCCCTGTTCCTTTCTTTTCCATAGAATTTGAGGGTGTGTTTCTGTTATGGGGGCTCATGAATGTTATGGGGCTCATGAACAAGTGGGTAGTCAGGATGCCATGCGCTGCCATCTGGGGCCAGTCAGGTACTTTACAGCTGAAGTGTTTTATCCTACAGCAGTTTTTGTTTGCCTTGCATATGCATAATGAAATCACAAGTAAGTGATGTACCTACAAGAACATATCGAGGCCGTATGATGAAATCAATCCCACATACAGTGCAAGCTCATTTCGGCGAGCTATATGGGACCAATCCCGATTCAGTACAGTGAGGGATTCTTTCCAGCTGGAAAAGCCTTCAGGAGGCATTTGCAAGATTTAATTTGTTTGAGACAAAAATACATTGCTTCACCTGTTTCATTCTTCCAACATTGCTTCCTTCCCAAAAAAACATTCAGAATATGAATGGAGTCATATTCATACTTTAATATTTTCCACACACACTGTGGGCTAATTTCACTGAGCTAAATTTAAATTCAAACTTATCATATTATGGACAACCACAGGAGAACCTATCTTTGAAGAGATTTCACAACATTTAGCATATTTCTACACCCCAGCCTCAAAACCTTATTTCAAAGGAAGAAGGGCTCATATTTTAGTAAATGAAATGGGGCAACTTGAAATTAAAATAAACCATAGAAATCGGTTTTAAACTGCTCAATGGCTTTCTGTAGGCTCCAACTCTTTCTTAAAATGTTGGGTCCATTTACAAAAATCATTAATGTAAAAATTCTGCTTGGGGTACTTTTCAAGCTCGTCATAGTTCAGTTGGTAGTGCATGTGCCTGGGAAATGTGGGGGAAAGCAGATTTGACCCCACCATGTGACCTAAATATTTTCTCATTGTATGCTTTGTTTTCTCAAGGTTACTTATTTCTATTTAAGCAATTACTTGCCTAGATGTGCTTAAACCTTTGTGCTCAGTTTTGGGTTGATTCCTAATTTCCAAGCTTCTCTTGCCTCAGAGACAGCCAGTCTGATCCTAGCTCCTAGTTGGTGGATGTTGAAAGTCTGGTGTGATATCCAAAGGCTTGGCAACCCCAGTGCTATAGCTTGGGAATATACTGAGTGTTCCGCCAGAAATGGCTATTTTATTACATTTAATGCTTATTACATTCAGTGCTTAAACTGTTTCTCTTTAGTTCCAGTGAGAAGTTCCTTGATGGTGGTTTAGTGGGAAACAATCCAGTCTTAGACACATTGGCAGAAATTGAGGAATGGAATATGGCAGTGCGTGCCAAGGGTCGTGAATCCGAGATCTTCACCCCCACTGTTGTAGTGTCTTTAGGTTGTGGTAAACCTCCTGTGATGCTGGTGAGTATACAGTATATCTTAGTCTAGTTGTATACTTTTGTTTGTATACATCTCTATAACTGATCCCCTCTAAACAAGGGACCAAATCTGCCCATTGGATTCCCCTCCAAAATTATAAAAAAAAAGTACAGTTTATCATGTAAAGCCATTTCCTTTGAATTATAGTGTGTTCTTATTTTTGCTGATCTCTTACTGCCTTGTAAATTGTACAAATAAGTTTGTTACATTTGTTCTGTTATTGAGACCTATTATGAGGGCATACATACCAGATGTGTTTTCCTCTGTACTCAAGCATTTACACTGGCTTTTCCTCTGATATATCAGTGTTTGCGCATTGAAGACATGTCGTGTGGCAAGAGTAGTAGGGATACAGCAGACGAGGATAAGATAAGCTTACTTTCTATGGATAATAAGTCAAGAGTTTTTCGAAAAATGTGATTATGGCTAGGAAAGAAAGTGGTTGGCAGAGGAGCATAACATTGGGGAGGGAAACTACAACCCACTTGAAAGTGGAGGGAGCCAGTCAGCTCTGGAAGAAATTTGGGCCATTTGAAAATGCCCTTCCACACCAAAAATTCTGCCTCCAATCCATCTATCCATCTAAGTACACAAGAGCAATAGCCAAAGTAAAAGAAGCTAGGAGTTCAGGCAATAGCAGGGATAGCTGACAGGGCAAAGCAAATTTATATGGCACCTAAAAGAGATGAAAATTGAATCTCGTACTAAGTCACAAGGCTAACAACCCAAGAGAACAAACAGGGTTCAATATAACACATGAAATCATAGGTAATTATGTAAAATAAGTCCCAGGACCTCTGTAACAGATTATAGTCTGATGAAGAGACCTGTTCAAAAAACTAGCATTGAATGTAATGAAACGCCATTTTCTGGGTGAGCCCCAGAGGCTCCTTGGAGTTATCGGGCTAATATGTGATACATTAGACTGGGGCATTAGTCTATGGAGTTCACGAGCCAGAACCTGGCCCCCTCAGAGAGATGCAGGGAGCAATGGCCCTGGGAAACTCCCCTGTGGTTGGGGGTTTTCCATATCTGCCATCGACCTGGGTCAGGCACCCAGGCTTAACAATACAAACCCCACTTGGTAAGAAAATTACAGCTAAAAACCGAAAAGAGAGGCAGAACTCCTGCCAATCCCAGGGGAAACAAGCAAACGTCACACTCCACCATCATGTCACTTGTCCCGCAGCCCTCCCTTCCCCAGCTACCTAGCACTCCAGTTTGGAGCCAAGCATCAAATGTGAAAAAACGCCAACCGGAGCCTCCAGGGCTCACCCAGAAAATGGTGTTTCATTACATTCAATGCTGGTTTTCTGTGGGGAGCCCTTGTGGCTCCCAGGAGCTACATAACCAAAGACAAGGAAAAGTGGGACTTACCCGGGAGGCGGCCGCCACACACTCCTCAATGCGAAGTAGAGACAATTGGCTGCAACCTGCGACCCAAAGCAACACAGGAACGCCCTGGAACAGGAACATTAACCAAATAATAGGCAGCCAGGACCCTGTTCGACCTCCAAAATCCCCGCGCCTGAATATCAACCCAGGACATGTTGCCAAACATGGAGCCAATGCAGCAAACTTCCTAATGTCATGGGCACGAGGATAGACTGCAGGCTGGATATTCTTAATAACCCTGCGGGCGACCTGGAAGACCCGCACTCTGGAACAGGGAACGAGGGAAACCGGATCAACCCAAAGGACATCCCCAGCTACCAAAGCCGAAGCGCGCAGATAACGGCGAAGAGCTGCAACTGGACACAGCACATAATGCACCCTCGGCCTGACCAACCAAGCATCAATGACCCAGGGGACCCCTCCAGAAAGCAGTCGTTAGAGCCTTAGAAAAACAATCTTGAATGAAAGGGGCCACCACAAACTGAGGAGAGGAAAGATAAGAGAGCACCCTGTTGTCTAAGGACAAGGACAGCTCAGGCGGGGCATGAGCAGTCCGGAGGTGAAACAAGGCCTGAAAAAGCTTACGGAACAGGGCAGAAGAGACAGTCACACTGAACACAAGCTGGAGTGGCTCTGCCAGCCCCACACAATATGAGGCGACAGTATTAGGCATCAAATGACGGTCATGAAAAAGCCAAGACAAAAAGGACAAGACAACCCGATCAAAAATAGAAGACAACCTACCAAGAGAGAGAGAGAATTGTGGAAAGAACGCCAGGAAACTTCATACTGTCGCCAAGATGAAGCTCTCAGGTGGGACACCATCAACGAAGCCACCTGATCAGCATACAAATGAGATAAACCCACGTCAAAATGCCCAGACACGAAGAGCGGAGGAGAAGGCCGAACCAGCCATGTACCGGACTGGACTGATCTGATCTGTAGGAAGAGGCGGAGCCACAGAAAATGCCCTGGGTTTACACACCGAGCAAGCAGCACCTGGAATCAAGTCTGGGCTGGCCACCAAGGGGTCCACAAGGACTACTCTCAGTTGGTAGGACTCCAACCAAGCCAGAACCCGAAGCAACAGCTGGACCAGGGGAAAGAGGTACAGGCAACCTCACCTCGACTAGTCCTGCTGAAAGGCATCCACCGTGACAACCTTGCAGTCAGGGAAGGACGCCACATAGATTGGGAGACGCTGAGACCACGCCAACGCAAAGATGTTGACGTCCAGGAGTCCGTACGTATGGCAGAGCCAACTGAATGAATCGACGTCAACTGTCCATTCTGTGGACAGGTGAATGAATAAAGACAGGCCGTCTGCCAGGATGTTGGACACTCCTCGGATGTGAATCGCACGGAGAGCCAAACCCCGAGAAGCCAGCAGACGAGCCACTCGAAGCGACCAGCCCCAAAGAGACAAGGACCGAAGGGAACCCCTGCGGTGACATCCCCATCCTTCTCGGGAAGGACAGAACCCCATTGTCCCTGGCTGGCCTGGTGAGCACTGATCACAAAGCCCCAGCCGAGAGATGACGCGTCCGTGAACACATCGGGCGAGGGCTCGGGTGGGCGCCAAGGCACTGAACCCCAAAAACCCCGAAGAGGAAGCCAGTGATGCAGCAACCGACGCAAGACCCCTGGCAGATGAACCCAGCAATCGCGAGAAAAGTGGAAGGGGTGTTCCCAAAGGAACCAGAACAGACGCCGAAGTCAAACCTGACCCCAGCGGGTAGACCAGCATGGCGAAGTTCAAACTTCCGCACAACTACTTGAGCAACTGTCAAGTGACCAGGGACCCTCCAGAAACAACCGAAGGTGGGACCGCAGCCTCAGCAAGGCCTCTGGAGGGAGAGAATGGAAGCAGTCTGAGAGTCCCAAAACAAGACCCAGCTAGGTCCAAAGCTGGGACAGAACCAGATGGGACTTACTCCAATTCACCAGGAACCCGAACCCCGGCGAGCTGGGAAAGAACCGTACCCCTGGCAAACATACAAGCGGACAGACTGGGAGCCCACACCAGCCAGTCGTTGAGGTAGGCCAGGACCCAAACCCCTAGCAGATGCAGACGGGTCACCACGACCTGGGTAAGATGCATAAATAGGCAAGGTGCCAGATTCAAGCCAAAAGGAACGCAACGAAAGCGGTAAGCCTGATGCCTCGCCACGAAACCTAACCAGTCCCTGAACCCTGGATGAATAGAAACGTGCCAATACATGTCCTTAAGGTCCCGGGACACCATCCAGGCACCCAGCTCCAAAAGAAGCCGGACCTGAGACAGAGTGGTCATCCGAAAGGATGGGCAAGGAATCCAGGGGTTCAGATGGGACAAATCCAGAATGAACCTCAGATCCACACAGTCCCATTTCGGCACTGGAAACAGGCGGGAAACTAACCTGAGGGACTGGGTCATTTCGAGCACACCCAAGCGCACCCACTCCGAGTTGACCTGACGAAGCACAAGAGAAGAAGCCTGCCCTGCCAGCCCCAAACCCCCCTAATGATATAAATATAAAATAAAATATAAAATAAAATATAAAATAAAATATAAAATAAAATAAATATAAAACTGATACTGATACTACAGGATAAAAGAACTGATACTGCAGGATAAACTTATCTACAAAAGGCATCAGCAGTGTGCCCACAACCACAGGGGGTCCCAGAGTGAGATCAGAGACCCCCTGCACTGTCCAGGGCAAGGTTCTCTACACAGTAGCCTGACCTCTCAGGGGCAAACTCATGAACACACCAGAGAAGCTACTCTGTCAGTGCAGGAACAATGCCAAACAAGCGCTTAGAAAAGGGTTGCCCTAAACACATGCACGTGAAGCAAATACTAAATGTTAGGAATGGTACACAAGCAAATGGCTCCTACAGGACAGAGTACAAAGGATGACTAACACTTACAGTATCTTCAAACAGAAATTGAACTCGCTATAGCCTGGCTACTTGGGAAGGTCTAATTGTTCAGACATCAGTGACAGGACTGAAGTTTACTGGTGTAGGATCCTGTAACTAACGGGGCGTCACCTGTTGGCAGTCTTTCACACCTGGGAGGTTCGAGCTAGTTTCAAATGAATCATTTGGTTTTGAGTGAAAGAGATGCGAAGTTGTTTGGCTGTTTTAATGGTTCATTTTATGTGAACCTTACAGTTCTTTGTATTACTTTGTTTATTTGCTGGCTGCTTTCACAGTGTGGAGTGATTGTAACATTCCCCAGCATCCTGTGCCCCTATGAGGCCAGGTTCTGGCACTGGCCCCTAATAGGCCAATCAGGACTCTTATGGCTGATGTGACTCAGTACAGTAGTGGGAAGCCATCTCAGAAAGATAGCTTAATCCCTGCACGTGTAATTACCTAAGTGTAGTTACAGGATGAGAGCTACGCTCGTGGTGTCCCGTCTTCCCAGCACTCTTTGTCATATAACGCTTTGAAACTACTGACGGTTTTGGCCTCCACCACCTTCTCACCTAACTTGTTCCAACCGTCTACCACTCTGTTTACAAAAGTGAATTTTCTTATATTTCTCCGGCAGCTTTGTTTTGTTAGTTTAAATCTATGACCTCTTGTTCTTGAAGTTCCGGGTCTCAGGAATTCTTCCCTATCAATTTTATCGATTCCTGTTACTATTTTGTATGTAGTGATCATATCGCCTCTTTTTCTTCTATCTTCTAGTTTTTGCATATTTAATGCCTCTAACCTCTCCTCGTAGCTCTTGTCCTTCAGTTCTGGGAGCCACTTAGTGGCATGTCTTTGCACCTTTTCCAGTTTGTTGATGTGCTTCTTAAGATATGGGCACCATACAACCGCTGCATATTCCAGCTTTGGTCTAACAAAAGTCGTGAACAATTTCTTTAGTATTTCGCCATCCATGTATTTAAAAGCAATTCTGAAGTTAGAAAGTGTAGCATAGGCTCCTCGCACAATGTTCTTAATGTGGTCCTCAGGTGACAGTTTTCTATCTAGAACCACCCCTAGATCCCTTTCTTTGTCAGAATTCTTTAAAGATTTCTCACATAATTTATAGGTTGTGTGGGGTCTATGTTCTCCTATTCCACATTCCATAACATGGCATTTATTCACATTAAATTCCATTTGCCAAGTGGTGCTCCATATACTTATTTTGTCCAGGTCTTCTTGAAGGGCATGACAATCATCTAGGTTTCTTATCTTCCCTATTATCTTAGCATCATCAGCAAACATGTTCATATAATTCTGTATTCCATCTGGTAGATCGTTTATGTAGACAATGAACATTACCGGTGCAAGAACTGAACCCTGTGGTACTCCACTTGTGACATTCCTCCAATCCGATACATTGCCTCTGATTACGGCCCTCATTTTTCTATCAGTTAGGAAATTTTTCATCCATGTTAGAAGCTTACCTGTCACCCCTCCAATATGTTCCAGTTTCCAGAACAACCTCTTATGTGGAACTCTGTCAAAAGCCTTTTTTAGGTCCAGATAGATGCAGTCAACCCAACCATCTCTTTCCTGTAAAATCTCTGTGGCTCGATCATAGAAACTGAGTAAATTCGTTACACAGGATCTTCCAGATCGAAAACCATACTGTCTGTCTGATATTATATCGTTTTTCTCCAGGTGTTCTACCCATTTAGTTTTAATTATTTTTTCCAATATTTTGACTATTACACTTGTCAATGATACAGGTCTATAATTGAGGGGGTCTTCCCTGCTGCCACTTTTGTAGATTGGAACTATGTTAGCCTTTTTCCACACATCAGCTACAACTCCTGTACACAGGGATGCCTGAAAAATCAGTTGAAGTGGAATGCTGAGCTCAGGTGCACATTCTCTCAGAACCCATGGTGAAACTCCATCTGGACCAACTGCTTTGTTCTTACTTAGCTCCTTGAGCATTTTTTCCACTTCGTCTCTAGACACCTCTATGTGCTCTATGTTGTTCTCTGGAATTCTTATTGTGTCTGGTTCCCTGAAGATTTCATTTTGTACAAACACACTTTGGAACTTTTCGTTTAATGTTTCACACATTTCCTTTTCATTTTCTGTGAATCTATTTCCCATTTTCAACCTCTGAATATTATCCTTTACCTGCAATTTGTTGTTTATGAATTTATAGAATAGACCTGGTTCTGTTTTACATTTGTCCGCAATCCCTTTTTCAAAATTTCTTTCTGCCTCTCTCCTCACTGCCGTGTAGTTGTTTCTCGCATCTTTGTATCGCTGGTATGTTTGGGGGTTTGGCCTCTTCCTATATTGATTCCATTTTTGTGTCTTTTGGTCTCTGGCCCTCTCGCAATTTCTGTCGAACCAATCCTGTTTCCTAGTTCTGCATCTCTGCTTTGGTATAAATTTTTTTGTGCCTTTATCATATATTTCACAAAACTTGACATACATCTCATTTACTTCATGTCCTAACAGCAAGTCTTTCCAGTCAAATTCCTTAAAGAAATGTCTGAGTTCCCCATAATGACCTCTCCTGAAATCAGGCTTTTCAACTGCTTCAACCTCATTTTCTTCCAGATTATAATGCATTGCATACTTTATTCCCAAAAAGACATGGTCACTTTTACCCAAGGGAGGGAGGTACTGAATGTCAAATATCTCTTCCTCTTTCCTGGTAAATATCAAATCCAGCATGGAGGGAACATCCCCTTCCCTCATCCTCGTAGCTTGTTTAACATGTTGAAACATGAATGTTTCCAGGATGAGGTTTACGAATCTACAAGTCCAAAAATCCTCCGTTCTAGCTTCATATGCCTCCCAGTCTATGGATTTCAAGTTGAAGTCGCCGACTACCAACAGTCGTGATCTATCTTTATCAGCTCTGACTATAATTTCTCTCATTATTGTTATAAGACCCTCTCGTTTATTATCTAGCTCCTCCTTTGTCCATGTGTTGCTTGGCGGTGGACTATATGCATTTATGATCGTTAGTTTATCATCCTGATTGCAGATCTCTAGTGCTATTATGTCAACTTCTCGTGGATTGGCAGTCATTATTTCGTTTACCTTTAAGTGTTCTTTCACCAGCACAGCAATGCCACCGCCTTTCGTAATTTTTCTGTCCCGTCTCCAGACTGAGTAGCCCCTTGGGAATATGACCTCATTTAAAATATCATCTTCAAGTTTTGTCTCCGTGAGTGCAACAATGTCTGGTGTCTGCAGCTGTATTACATCACTTAACTCCAGTATCTTTGATCTCACTCCATCTATGTTGGTGTATGCAATTTTCAGGAACTTGTTCCCCCTCTCCTTATTCTTCACTCCCCCTTTCTCTAATCCTTTTGTTGGTTTGCCTTTATGTACCACTTTACTGGTTTGCCTACCCCTATCACTTTGTAGAAAAAAGAATTGTTTTCTTCTTCATTCCTGCTCTCATTTAAACGTTTTGCCTCGGCGAGGTTCAGTTTCAGCTTCTCTCTGTCTCCTTTTGAAAGATCTCGTCTTAACGACCATACTTTCCCTCCCTCATCACTTTGTAATTTTCTAGCATTCCTTAGTACTTCTTCCATCTGTTTGGCACCGTTTAGGGTGATCCTCAAAGGTCGATCTTTCCCTTTTACGTACTTTCCAATTCTCCTGTAGTCGCAGACATTCTCGATGGTAGTAAGACCTTCCACGAGGCCAACAATTTTATCTACTACTTTCTCTTCTTCTACAGCTCTTTCTGACCTAGATGTTATCTCCTTTTCTTTGCAACCAAAAATTATCAGAGACTTACTTCGATCAACTGTGTTTTGCACCAATTTAGGATTTGATGCCAGTTCCTTTCTGACTTCCAGCCTAATGTTTGTTTTATCCTGGTTGCTGCAGTGTTTGGCTTCCTTTACTGCTTCTTCTATTTTTTCCTTCTCCTTGGCCACTTGTGCATAGGTGAGTTGCATATCTTTCTTGCACTGTTCTATTCCCTGTGTAACTTCCTCCATCTGTACTGACAAAAGCTGTTTTTCCTGTTGAATTTCCTTACCTAACCTATCGTAGTCATTTAAGTTTGTTTGCTTTAACTTCTTCCAAAACATTTTTAAGAGTTTTTTCCTCTTCCATGACTTTGCAATTTGTTTCCAGTTGATTCTTGTCCTTGCATAAGTCTTTCACTAACCCCTCAAGACCTAAAACCTTGCCACTCAAGTGCTCATTACTTTCTTTCAATTTGCTGATTATTTCTTCATGATAGTTCACTATAATATCTAATTTTGCCAATTTGTTGTGTAGACTGCTTATATCAATGTTTTCTTCATTAAAACCCCCAAAATCTAGCTCTGTTTTGTTTTTCTTCTTGCTGGTGGCCATCTTGAATGTTTTTGTCTGGACTGTAAACACTAGGGTCACTTTTTCTCATCCAATTTTTCACTTCACTTTGCACATTCGTGTTACCTCACCTATTTTTCCAAAGCACAACACTTTTATGTTCCCTGGGACACCACTCACTATCATCAACCTGTACTACAATACTTAGGAATTGTGAAATATCCTGGAGCTCCTCTGTTGCAGGTGTTGACACTAGGGGGTATCACCTTTTTACTTAGATTTTTTTGCTTCATAGATGCTTATTAACAATTTATTTTATTTTTTATTTTTTTTTGTGCACTACATGTACACAGTACTCCCTTTAATGTGCAGCCCAAGTTAAGGGAGCCACAAGATGCTACTATTGAAAGCCCATCATATTAAGTGAGGGGGAGTACTGTATTTCTTTTTGTAAGATTTAGATTGGGTGTCAACCTTTTTGTCTATTCTGTAAATGAATGGGGTGAAATATGCATACTGTACCGGGTCATATCAAACTTATTACACTGTACTGTATTGTACTTATATTTAATGTATTAATATGGATTTATTTTTCAACAGGTTGACAATATTGACATTACTATGCCAAGTATTCTTGATGTACGTCGAGGTCTTCAAGCAATGTACAATTTATTCAATGTCTTGGTGGAACAAGCTTGCAGTTCAGAAGGTCGGATTATAGATAGAGCACGCACATGGTGTTCAACTTTACACGTTCCTTTCTTTCGTTTTAATCCACAGTTATCTCAAGATATTGCACTAGATGAACATGACGATGAGCGCTTAGTTCGTATGATGTGGGAAACAAGAGCATACATGAAATCCCAGGCAAAAATTTTATCTCAACTAAAGCCTCTCTTAATAGAAGCTGAAGTGGGGCCTATACCTCCTCCCCGGCAACTTACTCCAACCAAATCTAAACACAGCTCACGTGTTTCTATATCTGTTGGTTCTAGTCAAGATACCGTAGATGCAGTTCACCGACTCGTTTCAGCAGGAACTTCCCCTGATGAGGAGGGAAGTTATCACTCTATTCTTCCAGAGTATGCCACTGTTGGAACTGAAGAAACATCTGATGAAGTGATGGTTGAGCATCCCTCAACACTTGATTCTGTGTCAAGCAGTGAGGGGACTTCTCCATCACCTGATGGCAATGATGACTTTATGGATAAATGCCAGCCCAGTGAAATTTCATCTGATTCTCTTATCCATACTGTAGAATAAGTATTCTTCATTCATGATTCATTTAATTTTTGTATAATAATTATCATACAATTGTAGTCATAAAGCTACATAATCATGCATAGTCATAACATGCACATAATATAATTAATACTTATTACATAATTACCTTTTTATAATTATCTAAACTAGTTAGGATGCTTTGCTTACATCATTTTATTAATATACACAATACTGTGTATGTAGGCCTTTTTCACTTTAGGCATTGTTTAATTTCTTCTATTACACCTCTTTAAAATTAGTCAATCAGATTTGGTTGAGGTTCAGATAAATTAGACCTTGCTTGGTATCCCTAGTAGAGGGATACCTTGGTTTATTTATTTATTTATATTTTCAAGAGTTCCTACATTCTTGTAAACCCACTAGCACGCATGGCATTTTGGGCAGGTCCTTAATCCTAATTTCTCCCTGGAATATGATCCGCCAAATCGTTTAACAACCAATTCACTGTTAGGTGAACAGAGGCTACAGTTAAAGATTGACGCCCAGTCAATCCTCCCCAGCCAGGATACAAACCCAGGCCAAAGCTCTCGCAAAGCGCCGAGTGAGTGTTTTACCAAAGGGACTGCATGGCTGCTTGCTTTAGTTTCTTCATTGGTTTTCATTCAGTATCTTGAGAATGGCATACATTAATAGGTTTGTATTAATTTGCATTACAGATAAATGTGGAATGGAGTCAGAAAATACATATTCAATTGCATGCACAATCTGTTTTATAATTTAGCTGTTTGTCTTCTACATATCTGCATAAAAAGTTAATATTACTGTATTGCAAAGTAATTTATTAAACTAACAATCTTAAGAAATAAATGAACTAGCTGCTGTATCATTCAAGTGTTGAGTTTCATCACTAAAGTGCACTCTTATACTGCCTCTCTCTATTGGTTGAGTTAATCAGCAAATCAGTTAAAAAGTTGTAATACAATAATTAGGTGATTTAAATTGCTAATCTTAATAGTGCACGACTTGATAATGGTCCAGGATGGACCGAAACATAGTCACTCTTTACTTAACATGCAGGGGTTGGGTTGTATGTTAGTACAGTATTTACTTACAGGAGTACTTGCAAGTCTTCAGTTATTGAAATGTTTTGTTTATAATTTATTATATAATATTATGTTAACCTCTGCATATTTTATATAACTAGTCATATTTCATCCAACAGAAATAACGCATGGGATGTGTGCCTGATCTACCTCTGATAGATGTAATAAGCTTATAGTCAAACTTGCCAATATCTCTAGAAATAGAGAGAACAAGTTTTGAAATAAATGCCAAAGGCTTCTATTTACCACCTATAATTTAATTGTATAAAAGTTACCTTTTATGCATTTATACATGTATTTATCATGGACTATTACATAGCAAAATATTCAAATATTAAACAATAAAACTGTTAACTTACCAGAGTAGGAAAAGTAACCTTAATGAAGTAGAGCATGGAGACTAGGGTGAAATAGTAAAGAAAATGCTGTAATTCCAATAGTGTTGTGAGAGTAGCACCACATGTTAGGGATTTGTTCATAGTTTGTCATCATAATAATGTGATGTTAGTCATAAGTAAGTTCATTGAGCAAAACTAGCAAATAATTTGGCCTGCACATAACTCGGAGCTCTGGTGAATAGTTAAAACGCATAGTTAATTTATTTTAAATACTATTTAAATAAATATTTTAAATATGTTGAGGGGTTTATATGCTAATGTTGTAATCATAATCACTACTTTATATATATATATAATATATATATATATATATACACACACACACAGTATATATATATGCTTGATAAAGTATATATTTTTTGTTTTATATTTTAAGAATAAGGTTTGAGGACTGATGGTTAATTCATTTAAAATTGTTAACCTCACATTCTTGAATATACTTATAGAGAAATGCAAAATTTGTTTTACATGAAGGTTTTAAAATATGAACACATTTTCTAATTTGTCATATCTTTTTGCCAAGATACTTGCATATTTTATTCTATATGCTTACAATCAATTGATAGAAGGAAAAAAAAGAGGATATACAGTATAATCACTATATACAAAATTGTGACAGGAATCACAAATTTGACAAGGAGAAATTGTTAAAATCTGTAACATCTATTTCATGGGGGCCACAGATTCTAGCTTTCACCATAGAAGTACTGCTGAAAAGATGTCAAAAAGTTCTCTATTCAGCAAAAAAAAATTTGTTCCAACTCTCCATAACTTAAGTGGTGATGGTGATGTCAAAACAATTAATAGTTTGTCATATGACAAAGATTATAAGGAAAACAGGGCACCAAGAATGTAGCCTTCATCGTGTAACTACACTTAGATAATTACACACATGCACATATTTGAATACATAATATATATGGTAAATGTACTTACAGTATGTTGTATGCTATAATTAATAGCATACAGTACCATAGTTTTATGCTATCTAAATATAGTAAATGTTATACCAGATATATTTCATTCCCCTATTGTAATAGGCTGTAATATACTGTACAGTATGGAAAAAGCACCATGAATATTTGTTTAAAATTACCTATAGCATTTTGTTTTGCTTGATGTCTCTATTCACCTATAGCAGCAAATACGTACCCAAGAGGCAATTGTTGCAAGTTGCATTCTGGGGAAGGTCAGTAGTTGGCCATGGGAAACCATATGAATAAGCATGGCTATAAATTTATATGGTCAGCTATTAAGATTTTATTATTATAATCCTTTGGAATAATTATTTAATTATTAATTTGACCCATAAGATGAAGTATTTAACATTTCAAGACTTCAGGTGTAATTAATTAATTTACAATAATTATGTTGTGTACTGTAGTTTAAGGATATTTTTAATATCGAGATTAAGAGGTTTGAATTATATGGTTTGTAAAGTCAAATGTTTTTAAGTGGTTCAGTTATGGGACGACTTTCCTTTGATAAAACACTTGTCGATTTAGATCTTGAATGCGAGTACCGGTATATGTCTTGACTCATGTTGAATGTTTACATATTTCTCTTAAAACTGAATTTTAAATCTAGCAATATGGAACTTGTATACACAAGCAAAGTGTATAATATTTTTGATAAACAGATGTTTAGTATACTGCTCGTACAATTTATTCTATAGGAGAGATTTATATGACAGATCAAAATTGTGTACCTATTATCAGACCATTTCCATTGTCAATGACAAACTAGGTTATATGTTAAATACACTGTTTTAACAATGTTGCAAGTGATGAATATTGCTTCAGCTACCATTGATATAAATACATCTCTTCCCGTTTGATCTTTGGTTATTAATCAAAATTTTCAGTACTTAAATGTAATTCTATAAATATATCCTAGCAGTGATACATACAAACCATTAGTTTTCCTATTTAAATGAAAATGGAGATAGAATTCTACAGTAGCACAAACCAATATGTCAAAAAAAGAAAAAGATCTGTTGTAGCCATCAAATTTATTGATACTAGATGCAACCCTGTACCTCTAATGCCATTCACTTTGTATATAAAGGCCAGCCATATTTTATTGAATTTTTGCTTTTAACTACTACCAGTACAGTATGTCATATCTATACCAAAGACGATCATATTGACAAATGAATTTTTGTTTTTGAATCAATGACAATCCCCATGTCAATGGATCTTTTTAAATATTTATCGTGTACTCTACAGCTGTTCATTACTAAAATTCTAAATTCATGTAATTTTTCACTGTATAATATAAATTCATCATTCACCTGCAGTTTTAATTTCCCGATTTAGCCATAAAATTCAAGTACAGTACTGTATATACCTGTACAAAAAATTTACTGCTACTATAAAATTATATTTGTTTCACTGAAAACATTGATGACCAGAATCTCCTCTACATCATTATAAATGTACTCACTTCTGTACTTGCGAGAGCTGAACCTGAGTTCCCGAGTCCCACGATTTAATCTTCAATAAACTGGTGTCCTTGCTTTCTAAACCCATGGGTGTCCTTTCCCCTCAAGAGTGGTTCCTTAACAATGGTGAGGCTCTTGTGCACCACCCACAGATAGGTGTGGGTGACTGCTGCTTCCGTCTCCTGCCTGCTGTGATGGTGCACAAGCGAATTACACCCATGTGGCTTTGCCACCTGTGAATTTGTCATGCATGTGGACCAATACATTCCCATTGTTCCTTCATTTAGACATCGAGCCTACCGCACAGCTGTGGCCCCTGGGTGGCAACTATCTCCTTTGGTTAGAGATAAAGGTTCAACGAGGCTCATCTGACTCTGGCGTGCATGTCTGATTAAGACATAGGGTCAAGTGGGTATTTTGAGGTCAGTAGTCCTATCAGTTCCTAGGCTGCTATTCAGTCCCTTTAGTGGTTACCTGTATATATTCTTGTTAGGTAACCCATGGGGTTACCCCCGTATGCTTGTACCTTACAGCGAGTTCTGTGGTAGGTTGGGGTGCAGGGCAGTAAAGTCCAGTTAAGTTTTTTTTTTTGCTACCTTCATTTTGGCACATCCCTTCTCCCTCAAAAACTTGTGGGGTGGGTGACCAAGCCCCCCCACCCCCACCCCACCCTACCCTGAGTCAGATTGTGAGGGGAGAGAACACTGTGAATGCAGGATAGAGACTTAAAAGCTCTGGAGAGACATTCAGAAGCTTTGGATTGTAAAAACATCCTCATTTTAAGAAACCTTGGATAGAAGATCGCATGAATGATCAACAAATCATTTATGCAATAATAGAAAAACTGATAGGCAAGGAAGAGAATCTAAGTATTTCTCAGGTAAGGAAGTTAGGTAAGCTCAAGGCAAATCTTGTATGTATTGCCATCGCAAATCTTTAACAGGATACTCAAAAGTACACACAAACTAAACCATCTGAGAAGGGTATAACAAAGTTTACACCTACCTCCCCAGACATCACAAACAGCAATATACAAGTAAATAAATAAATTAAACTAATGGAGTTAAGAAACATGTAACAATACAAATATTAAAAGCTAAAGATAGGGAGAGAAGCAGGTAATGACAATGGATGAAAGAGGATGTAGGCCTTCACCCAGCCGGGCAGAAGTAACCTTGTGTGTATCTCTCAACAAACGGGCCCAACATAAGTGATGTATGGAATAATAGCGAGCAGAATGCAGTAACAATCTCTCAGCCTGAATCCTGACATCAAAAAACAGGGATGAGATGACATAACGGAAATGGAATTCCATCTTCCAGGGCACCATGCAACTTTCAGAAAGGACAGAAGAACAGATGGTATAATGCTACATGTAAAAGTGGACTTGAATACAACCAGCAATGAGGAATTAAGCACTAATGGCTTCTTTGAATCTGTATGGTAATTCTCTAAGTGTAATTACAGTACGAGAGCTACGCTTGATATCTCCCGTCTTCCCATTATTCTGTCGTGTAACGCTTTGAAACTGCTGACGGTTTTAGCCTCCACCACCTCACTTATTCCAACTGTCCACCATTCTGTTTGCAAAAGAAAACTTTCAATGTGTAACATACTAGATGAAATGGTAGCAAACTGACAGCACAAGTATGCTACAGAGCAGAGAGCATTAGCAGAGGAAGTTAATGCTATCAATACAGCAGAGTGCCAAAACCCAAGCCCAAATAATGAGCAACTTTAACTATGAGACCTAACCCCCCCCCCCACTATATTTTCTTGCAAAAGTTCAAAGATTTTCACCCTTCTACAGATTCATGGCAGGCACAGCCAATACTAAGTAGATATAGAGCACCAACAAAGCCTGTGAACATGTTGTTCACAGCACTCCTCTCCCCACTACTGAAGCTTTTGCCCGAGAGTCTCCAAAATAAAACAGATTTCATCCAGAGGACTGTAGAATGCAACCAGCTATTACAGGAGGATGCCTACTTGTTTTCCCTGGAAGTCTCAGCCTTATACCTTAGTATTTATTCCTCAGGTAGTAAAAGTTGGCGAACACCTTCAAAGACCATACAGCATGGTGCCACTTCAATTAAAAGATCATCTGCCCCTAATTGCTTAGAAAAGGGATTTTTAACTACAAGACATGCTGATAATGGTACATATTCCTGTTCACCTAAGAACATCCTCAGAGGGATGGTGATTGGTCTAAAAAGAAACCTAACCCATTCTAACCTAACCTCGCCTAACCTGCAAACCGAAGATTATCCTATACAGACAAATGTACTTGGTTACATAAGCTTTAATGTGTGAAGAAAACTGATTAAAATTATACTTTACTACTAAAATTCTATCCAGGTAAATGTAAACAGGCCAGTTAGTCATCAAGAAGGCTAACCAAATACACTAATAGCAGTATTTGCAATAATTTAAATTACTGAATATATCTTTTAATCCATTAATAAGAATGGCAAGCAGACTTGCTATTTAACCCTTTGTGTTGTTAGATGTCTGCAATGGGAATGATTTACAAAAGAAACACTTTGAACATTTAAAATGAGAAAAGATAATTTAATAAAAAACTTAAATGTCATTAGCTGGGAGTCATGTTCAGTTCATTTCACTTACTGAGAAAAAGGACTGCTGCATATAATTGATTTGGGATTTTTGTTTTGAAGACAAATTGCATACAGACCCACTGACAAATCCTGCTTATCAGCAGCTAATATTTAAACACTTATTTAGTGAATCACTAATTATTTCAAATTTCAATTCACAACCAGGCTCATTTCTGCTGAAGACACAAGATACAGTTGCAGACTGTATTACAATAATGTGGCTGAAGATATGATGACCAAACTACACACCAGAAGATGGAGAAATGACAACATTTCGGTCCATCCTGGACCATTATCACAACCGACTTGATAACAATCCAAGATGGACTGAAACATTGTCGTTTCTCCATCTTCTGATGCGTGGTTTGGTCATCACAAGATACGGCTCTCAGGGATACAACCCAATGCGTCAAAACAGTGAAGTAATTTTTATGAATTCATTGACATTCATTGACTGTTCCAGCCAGAATTAAAGCTGCACACAGAAAACAAGTACAGTATAATTAAATAGTCACAAAACTTTGACCATGTTTGTTGGTAAAAGCTAACATTCTTAATTTATCAAGACTAAATCATACACGGAAATGCAGGAAGACAAACACGTTTATTGAACAATGGAATGAATTGTCACGTAGATACAGCAAAATGGGAAAATCCAAGAAATTGCACCCCCCAGTTATCCTGGGAGAAAATTCACTATGCATATGGTGAAATATTTTAACAGCTAACCAAAGGGAATCATTTCTGCATACAACAGCTGTAGTTTTACATTCTGGATTAATATTTTACAAAATTTTAAAATTAAGCATACAATATAATGGAACCCCCTTTTTTGGCCAACCTCGGTAGTTCTCCAGTGCACTGACTCTTGTTACCAAACACATTCACAAAACATGCCTCTGGACATGTATATGCTTGCCAAACATGAGGACTAGAATCTGGTGTGCACTAAGGAGGGCATGTGGATACAAGATCAATATAAAAAATGAGTAAGACTGCCCAGAAAGTACAGTTAAAGCAAAACAAACTACATCTTGATATAGAGAAAAGATGGAAATAAAAGATACAGTAGTTTGCCCAATGTCAATAAGCCATGTGCTAGTATCCAAACAAACTCTTAGATGGCAGCTAAGGTCACCTAAGGGTTTGACCTGACTGTTACCCACCCCCAAAACATTCACAATCCCCACGGGGAAAAGAAGGGTGGATACAGAGAGCTACCGAGGCTCCCCAGAAAAGGATGTTTCATCATATTTAGCTCTTGATTTCTAGGCTGGCCCTCAGTCAACCCGTCCTCACACTAGGCTGTTTAAAGCAGTGGCCGTCCTCCCCAGATGCATTCATTCATTTTAACATACTGTATTGTGTATTAAAAATTGGTTTGTTCTCATATATATAAATAAATATTTCACAAAAATTTTATGTATTGTTAGGTGTAGGTTAGGTATTTAAGTTCTGTTGAGAATTATTTGTATTTGAAGTACATGGGTGAAGCATTTATATTATTGTGGTTCGAACAGAGGACGTGAGCGAAGCACTTGTTCGGGATGTGTTCGGACATCATCAGTTGTGAGTCGTGTGTAAACTGGTGTTCATTCATAAACGGGGTTTGGTAGCTTGATTAACGAGCTTGGATCTTTGTATGCGAGGAAGGGCTGCCTCAGTAGTTCCCAAGTGTATAATTTATAATAATGCTAAGAAAACTGTCCTTGAGCAAGACAGAGGGTCGACCAGAGGAGTCCGCAAGCCGGACACCCAGTGCTCAGCAAGCAGGCAAACTAAACCTTTGGATGATCCAAGCGCACCTGGTGGTACGCTTGGGTACTTGTGCATGCTTTGTTGACATTGGTTAAACTAATGCTTCCTTTATTTTCATATTCTCTCTCTTTCATCAAGATAAATTTTGTTTTGTTTCAACTGTATTGTACAGGTAGCTTTACTCTATTTTGAGATTGATCTCCGATTCCAATACTCCCATCTTGGTATTTTAACACGATTCTGGTCCCGATGCTGGGCAGGCATCTAGAGATTTGATAGTTTTGTGGATACATCTGTAGCACTAGAGCCTATGCATCAGACAGTGAGGGTCAGTCAAAAACATGGAATTTTGACTGCAGAGGACAAAAAAAGAAATGACACGACAGGCTGCATATATCCTCCGTACCGCAAAAAAAAACTGATGAATGTTTTACTGCAAAGATACTTTTTTTCATAGGATTAATACCCAATGCCAGGTACTGAAACTTTTAAGGTTTTTCAGCAGTTTAATTCTGTACTTGTACTTCCAGGTTTCCAGATTTTATGCACTTTTTCCCATTTGAAGTTCTTGCAATACATCTACTTCATCCTATACTTATTATCCAGATGTATATTTGCCACTTATGAGCTTTATTCCTACCACTTGATGTTTAGTTGTCTTGAACCCTAAAACTACTCATTTTAATAATTCAATTTATACACTTTGGTTATATATGGCACCACTTCAACCTGTTAATCTCCAGAAATATACAAATAAAATAACTATTTTGTGAATCAAGGTCAGGTATTAGCAAGAAGAGTGTTTGATAGCCAAGAAGAAGAGTTCAGATGTAACAAAGATACATCTTTGTTACATCATTATCACCTTTTTACATATAGTATTGTTCTTCCCTACCCCATTCACACAATGCTGAAATACTGGAACTTTAATAATGTTCACCAAATTAATTATACATATGTATCAACACACTCCTTTGAAGTTGGGTTTTAATTTTTTTATCGTCTACTGCACATAAACAATACACAAAATTATCATGTTATCAATCTTTTCATACTTCCTTGCAACTTAATAAAACTTTTAACCAAGACAAAACAGTAGTGAACTGCAACTACATCATTCAAAATACACCGTATATTCATCAATAGTAAATTACTTTATTAAAAAGTTCTTGCCATTTTTATAATGAGGTACAATTACTGTATGAGCAAATTCACTTAAAAATGCCATTTTACACAATCACTTCACATTTGACCCTTTCGCTTTACATTTTCCAAACTGAAAACCAACAAATTCAACAATTTCAAGGATTTCTTGTTTCCACTTCTCTCTTTCTATTTCAACACTAACTGTACTAAGTCCTTTCCTTGCGAGTTATATTGGTCAACCCGTTCTCGCAAATTTAATAAGTCAATATTGACTTATTAAATATGTGAATAGGTGACATACTTAACATAATAGATACCCTTAAAAAGATTCATAGAAAACACCGACCTTACCTAACCTTGTTAGTATCTTAAGATAAGCATCTTATTGCTTCGTAATTACAATTATTACCTAACCTATAATAGGTATAGGTTAGGTAATAATTGTAATTACGAAGCAATAAGATGCTTATGTTAAGATACTAACAAGGTTAGGTAAGGTTGGTGTTTTCTATGAATCTTTTTAAGGGTATCTATTATGTTTAGTATATCACCTATGCACGTAGTTAATAAGTCAATATTGACTTTACGAATTTGCGAGAACGGGTTGCAACGGTAGCACGATTCCTTGTTTCATCATTTGAAATAGCAAGGCGGTGCAATAACTGTCTTGATATATATACTATATACGTACATGTTATACTTTTCTTCATCTTTCACAATCATTTTAGTAAAAATGAACAATAAAATTATTTTTGCATTATTTCCAGTTTCCAATTGTTAATTTTGTGTAAATCATTCTTTCCCAACATAAAGCTGTTGAGATCTGATCGTTCTCTTCTACAGTACAAGTTTGTGGAACTCCTTTGCTTGTGCTACAAACTAAATGTTCTATATCCACTTAAATTATTCAAATTTTGTTTCAAATTCCAAACACTTAATTTCAGTATATCAGCTACACAATGTAGTTGAAGCAACTTGCCACATATTTGTTTCCATTTTCCAGACAATGTTTAGTGAGCAAACAAAAATATAATTTAGTAAATTATTATTGACTGTTGGACACCCATGATTAGTCAAAAAGTAGCCAAAAATTCATATTGAAAAGAATTTTGTTAACATTTTGCACTAGCAACCAAGGTTTACAAAATGTGGCTACAAAAATTCTGATAAATTTCACTAATGTAGATTTCACTTTATTGGAGAAATTCAGATACAAAATCCAATAAACCAATATTTCAAACTGAAGTACTAAAACTTGTTTTGTAAAAATCCTCAATGTTAAATAATAAAACTTTCCTCACTCCACTCCTAAATATAAGCACCAAGAAAGAACTATAAATTTACAGGCAATATAACTTACGAAGTTTCTCCTCCCATAAAAAAAAAAAAAAAATTGAGACATCTCACAATAACTAATATAAATGCTCACTAATAATAATAATAATAATAATAATAATAATAATAATAATAAGAGGGAGGTGGTGGTAAAACAAACACTAATGCAAAAGTGAAATAGTTTCATGAACTTCAAGTTAAATGATGACAATGAGCCTGTGAACCAGGCTTGCTCTACAGACATCAAACGTGAAATAAAAATTCTGGGATATAAATTCATGACTTCAGTTAAAGCAGGAAAGAAATTTCCTCAACAAAGACTGAAACTACATTCCACAAGAAAGCTTGACTAGCTTCAGCCTACAGAACCTTTATAAAAATACTTAAAACTATTTTAAACACTTGGTAACTTCTTATTGTACATATTTACAATCATTAAAATATTTGTTTAACATATACACAGGTATCTGTATTATATTCATTTAAAGAATTTTAAAGAGGTATCAATTTACAAATCATGAAAAAGATATTTACATCAAGCAAGTGCAAAATAACACTGCCAACCAACATCTTGGAGGTGTACTGACTAAAATATTCTATTAAAGGTTAATATGCTCAAGTACCCTAGTTACCATAATGACGTTAACCATCCTTTGCCTATCAAATTTTCTTATTTCTTATGTCACAACGCAAGAAACCAGGTTCCATCCTGTTTGACAAGCTAGGAGGAGCAATTTGTCACATTAAATACACAGCATACTCTCTTGATACCCACTCGCCAACATAAGCCTCTAACACCTCAACTTGTACACCATTTCTCTGGGGAAAATAAATTATCAAAAGGTGCCAAGCCTGAAAGATTATATAGCACCATCTATAACAATATTAAAAAGGCCTTGATAACTTTCAGGATACTGATACGAGACACTCAGGGTAGGTGGTGCAAATTAAATATAAACTGTACTCTAAGAAAATGTAACAAGTATGATACAACTGGCAAGATATATTATTGTTCCTTTAAAGTAACTGGATTCCATTTACCTTATTATATACTTATTATGTACAGCTATTTTACATTTTTCAATTATTTATTCAGTTTTCTGTGACTGTTTAGCAATTAGCACAGAGGGAAAGAATCACAGCCTTTTTACTCCATTATTGGTAGTAACAATGGCAACACACAATTCCCAGTGTTAACCTTAAGAAATAAATTATCAGTCACCAAATGTTAAAACATAAAACCAAATTTCAATACTTGATATTACACATTAGCTGGTGGAAGTCATGTGAGGCTTTTTCAGACATACTCAACTATACATATGGAATTCAAAGACTTTTTACAAATCTGTCAATGAACATCTTGCCTCAATCACATTAGCTATATAAAAAAAAAAGTGGGCTAACACAGTAACATTTCTTATCTCAATGCTGGACCATAATTGACCATAACTTACCAGCACAGTTATATTAGCCTACATTACCCATGTTTCACTCATTATAAATTTAGTTCCTGGGACACAAAGTGAGCATAGTCCAACATATAAGTCCTACAAAATATTTTATTAAACCGAATTCATCCCCAATAGTTTTTAACCAATTCTGCACCTATTTGCAGGCTGATGAGCTAATATCAATATGAACTGTCCTTCAGTAGGGTCGCTGTGGAACATGGGGTCGGTCAGGTAATCTTGGAGGTACAGTCGGAACTGGACGCCTGTAATAGAAATATCTATTTTGTCATATTTTACCAAGACAGACTTTTTAGTTACTGTACAGTAACATTTAATGATAGCTTTATACATTTAATGATAGCTATAAAAATAATTGGATTCTTAATATACATTAAGCAAATGAAAGGAATACTTTATTTTTAAAAGTTCAAGTACAGTATAAAGAAATGTGTTATTTTAAAATTACATTATTATATTGCAAATATGATGCATGAGAAAGTAAAATGCAAATAGAGTATATCCAAAATAAACATGCTTTTTACTTATCTTTGTTGGGCCTTGTGCAAAGCTAAAGTTAAAAATAAGATCGAAGCAAAAACAAACTTATGTTACAGGTGTAGTCTAGAGCCAGAAGTCTTATTAATCAGCCTGGTATTGTGACTTGTTATGGAGTATAAATAAGAAAAGCACTCAGTTTACATCATTTATTGTACACTGCTTGGATATTAACAGGAAGAAAGCAGACAGTAACAAAGATAATCACAACAGTATCAGCTGCCCATACAAAATAGTTCGCAAATATCTTCAGCCAATACAGCCATTGTAATCATATACACAGCATAAGGATGCATGTATATGCTGATGTATGCATATATGCATACACATACACATATATGCATGCTTGCACACACACACTAACAGTCACACATGCTTGTATATTATTATTATAAAGAAAAATTCTTTAGATATTGAAGTCAAAGTGAGCACATTGAAAGTTAACACTTAAGATATGACAAGGCATTAGATATGAGTAGTTTAGCACACTTTTTGCCCTTCCACAATAGTTTCCCTTAAGTAATCAACAAGCATCACATTCAACTCCACCCCCCCCTAAAGAAAAAGAAAAGAAAATATACATATATGATTACATTTTAATGAACGTATTTATAGGATTATATCAATAGGTATTTTAAGCACTGTATGGTACTAGGATATTCAACAGAATGACCAGTAAATATGTACTTTTTATTTGCTACTTCACTTGTTATACAGCCTTGCCAGAGTTTCTTTCTTTCTGTTCTCAACAACTGTATACCATAATTAACAAGAAGAACAAGATACAACAAGGATCAAGAGCTACACACACACACACACACACTAGACAGTGACCAGTTACTACAGGCTCTAACACTTATATTATTGCATCCCCTGGTCACTTCCAGGAAATATTAATGCCAGTCTTTAAAATCTAACATCACGAAGAAGAGATCCCAGTGACAAACAAATGAAGACACCATATCTAGGAGTGCTACTACACCAGTTTTATTTGTCTGCCCTCGGGTCAAAATCTAATCAAATTCCTTTTTTTTTTTCACATGCCTACACTATATGTACATACTATAGATATGAGAAATAATGAATGTTGTTCTTTCCTGCTTCAAAGTCTTTCTGCACATACAAGATGGAACGGGACACGACAGCAGAGTAAACAGCAGTGTAACAGTAATGTAATTAACACCTTTATACATATACTTGTCAAGCTTAATTTTAAGTCAATAGAATCGAGGCATTTTATACAAGAAAACCACATATTCTTACATAATTTACACGTTCACTTTATCCTCTTGCCATAATATCAAGCAAATAATTGTTGCTTTATACAATATTCTTCATTCAGCCAAGAATTTAATCATGGTGCTTGCTAAATATACAATTTATCATGATACTATCAGGTAACCATTCCACACAACACGAAGTGCCTCACAGTCTAGCACTAGTGATTAAGCTTTTTATATAAACTCTGAAACTTTAACATCCAGTGACAGTTAGTAACAAACACAGAAGCTCTTTAACACAGATACATATTGTCTTTGGTAACAAAGTGGCAAAAGCTAATTTTAGTAAGCATTAAAGCACTAAAATATTATCAAGAGCCCTGATACATAGTCAGTGATTTTTTAGCACTAACATACACATGGAATGGTTTATTAATTTACAAATGCATTAACATAATACATACAAACATACTCCTTTTCCAAAATATATGTACAAAATCAAAGTAGCTATTTTATAATGTACTTGCTGTGTCGACGACAAACATTTTTTAAATTTCAATGACGAGTGTGCAATACTGACACGTAATTACTACAAGATGGAACTTGCATGGCAACAGGCCATTTAAACAAGCCCCTAAATATTAACTGTTAAGTGGACTACACAAGTGTATATAACTCATGACAGCTTAACTGTACACTGTAGTGGTGTACAAATATCTTTTTCTATGCAGGTACCACTTGCTACTTAACAGTAGGAAACCAATACATCTATGCTTGTATATCTTTATTTAAAAATAATACAAATGCTCATGGTAATATTTGCATGATTTTTAAACTAATGTGGTGGAATTTTGTATATATTTTACTTTCTACCAACTTCAGTCATGCTACTGTATTAATAAAATATAAAAACAAAAATGCCTTAAAACTTTATGCTGATGACACAATAGGAGAATGTACATCAGCAGTATTTAGATGGCATAAAATAAGCAGGTAATAATTTGATGAAATTGTCAATATTCCTCCACACCAAACTTTATTATTCAAAGTCATTTGCAGTTTATTAATTATGAAATTAGTATAAAAATAAAAATAATAAAAGAAATAATTGTCAAAATTAATATGATGTAATACACCCACATTCATATGAATTAATTTAATCTTTTAAATTACAACTTGCATAAAACATCTGCAGAAAGCACTATTAGTAATAAATGAAATTCTTGCTGGACTTTAATTTTTAAGTATAGAATACTTCATAGGTTATTAAAGGAATGCTGACAAACAAAAATATGAAGAGGGTCATAAAACCAAACCAAGAATGTTGTGTGCACACGTACATGTTTGTATGCATGTCTGCATGCATGTACATAATTATACAACATACAATGCACATATGCTGCACTATGCATATGTATTTACACAAATAACAACAAAAGTACACACACATTTGTGTGTGTGTAATACACTAATACATGCAGTGCATGCATAAGCCCATCCACCTTCCTTCATATTCAGACATTAATTTAAAATCCAAGAAAATTTTCAATACTGTACAGGATATGACGAAGTATAAGTTAGGTTCAATAATCCTCATCATATTCACTTGTGCTACTTTAACTCTACATGCAAGACAGGTCAATCAAAGCCCACATCTTTATCTCTACCCTTGATATGCAAAACGGTTTCCCGATGACAAAAATCCATATTAGCACACGGTAGTCTGAATTAATATTGCCATTACCACTATTATATTTCCCTACAATTACAAATGTTAATACTGTATTACTATTATTGCCACTAAAATCTTTATATTTGATACTATTGTGTTATTACTCCTGTTAGCAGTGACAGTGTATTCAATATGCAACATTATGCTTGATTTATCGTTCTTTTTGCATTACTACTTTTAAATAATGACTATTATAACCATATTAATATTAGAGAGATAATGATGATAGTAATTACTGCACAATACATACAATGTATCTTCCAAAAACTTTAGTATGAACAAAAACTGTGGAGTTTACATACAAATGGTGAGCTGTTTCACAAGTGTGTGTCCACATTTCATACTAGAGTACTATACTGATTTCTTAGAGGGCCTATGAAAGACGGCAAAACTTGATTCTAATTGGCCTAGAATACTAAATGTAAGTACAGTACAATAGGCCGAAGATTGCAAATAATAGGCCAAATATGGCTTCCATTAGGCTTAGGAGAGATTGTTGTTAAGTCTGTTGCAGTTCTTTAATGCTCTCTAGTATTCAAATATTAATATAAATAAATTGGACATTTTGGTTGCAAATGTCGAATTTGTATACAAGCCGTCACTATGGATATACATACTGTATTAACTATAATTTTTGGAGGATGGGTTTAACGTATAGGTACATTTAAGGGACTGAGGTTAGATCACTAAGGCAGAGAACAGTTTAACAAACTTGGGTACAATTTGTTTGCAGCATTTCACACTAAATATGTGTAGCAGCAGAGAAAATTAAAAATAACTTGGGATCAAAACCTTTGGATATAAAAAATCAAATAATAACAGCAAGCTCTTACTAGTGCTGGGCTGCACTGCTTGACTCAACAAAAATATAGAAAAAAAAAAGATGACTGGGGGAAGCCCCTTGTTGTTAAGAGGACCTAAATATTTTCACCAATAGTTTCAGCATCAAAAGGTTACAAATGGTGATATTTTGCTTGGCTTCCCATCCAAACTATTATATCGCATTAAGAGACTCGAATCATTAATATCAACAAGGCAAAAAAAAAATATATATATATACACACACCCACATATACAATACAGTAAAACATACATAAATAACCTATACAGTATGTGCAACACTTTGGCACAAAAAGTATAATGTTATGATGTACAGTAGAACCTCTGTACGAATTTAATCCGAATGCAACATAACCCAAATATTTGTAAACCGTAATAAATTTTCCCATAAGAAATAATGTAAATTGAATTGTTCTGTTCCACACACCCAAAAATATTAACTTAAAATCATATTTTATCCAGAATACTACTAAATTTTCCATACACAAAATAGTAAGGAATACATGAATGCAAACTGTAAATAATATATATGAACATTTAACTGTACCTTACCTTTACTGAGGACTTGTTGGCATATGGAAGACCGTCAGGAGGGGGAGGGGTAGAAGAGGTATTAGTGTTTGGAATGGGGGTTCTCTTCCATTATAGCATCAGGCAGTGAAGGCATTTTTGGAGCGCTCTCTTTCCTACATTTTGTAGGAATACCACTAGGACCCGGTTGTGGCTCACTGCTAGTTTGTCTCGCTAGGAATCTTTCTAAAGACACTTGTTTTTGCCTACGTTTTAACACTTGCCTGTAGTGAGACTTCACATTGTCATTAAAAAGGTTAACATAACGACTTGCTACAACCTTATATGGGAATGTCTTTTCAGCAAAATTTGCAGTTCTTTCCATACTGCACACATTTTTCTAGCCAGATCAACCATGCACATACCATCATGTTTATGAATAATCTGCTTTTTCTTCTAATGTCATCCTCATAACTATTTTCTTAGAACTACATTGAACTTTACCACTGACTTTCTTGGGACCCATGGTGTGATATATGGTAATAACTTTCATGTTAAGAAGAGGAATTTTATATATATATATATAATTTATCTATATCTACCAGGAGGCCTGGTCGACGACCGGGCCGCGGGGACGCTAAGCCCCGGAAGCACCTCAAGGTAACCTCAAGGTATATCTAATGAAATGGCTCACAGAGAATTCAAGTGCAGTTATCACTAGTCAGGATACAAGCATAAACTCAGCTTACCGACTCATACAAGTATGAACGAACATCGTACACCGGGGCATATTTTCTGACAATTTTTGTCATAGACTGGAAAATTTGTATTCAGGTGCAATTGAACACCGAGGTTCCACTGTATACATGGTACATTATGGCCTTTTTTCTATAACCTCTACGGGGGCAGCTGTTTGAGCTGGTCGCCCCACCCATGTGGTCCACATACTCTAAAACATCATGTTTATATAAAACAGAATTTTACGTGTGAATATATGTATGTTTTATGCTAGCTGATAACTGTCAAAATATCAAAGGCTCTAAAATGGAAGGAGAAATCAATGATTCTGGTCATCAAACAGTGTGGTTCTGCACGAAAGGGTTCTTGCTTTATCTTTTAGTAGCAATATACTGTGTAAACTGTCCATATAACACCACCTACTTTCAAACTGCCTCTCTCTTTCATTTGATGTTTAGATCATTTCAAAGTAATAAATGCAAGGTGTATACATGCACACCAAGTACCAGTGCATGACACCGCCTCCAGAGTGAAACTGGTGGTGATTCTGACTCGACATTCAACCAGAGGGGAGCAGGAATAACATGTGACATCGGTGACGATGCACTTGCATGAACACCACATGACATCAGTTATGATGCACTATCAGTGCATCATAACAGACATCCTCTCCATACAGTATGAGTGTTTTTATTGCTGTAGTTATCATTATATATCAATTGAACTTATTAACAAGAGATAATAATGAGTTCATATTTAATTACAGAATACTGTATACAAATAGCAATGTGCCCATAACAATGTTTTCAATTTTAAATTTTTTTGTGGGGTATACCTGTCATCCTGTTGTAAACCTGTTGATTCTGAGGATCAATGTCCCTGCAGCTTGGTCTCTGACCAGGCCTCCAGGTTGCTTGTCTTATCAACCAAGCTGTTCAATGTGGCTGCTTGCAGCCTAACATCGAACATTATGATAGTCACTGCCTGGTTTATCAGCTAATTTTTGCTCTATTGTTTGACATGTGATTTCCCTGAAACATTTCTAGATTTGAGAATTGGGTCCCACCAATAATCATGAGAAATTGGAAGAAAATCAAGCAATATATATACCCCATCTATATATGAGGAAAAGGGAGCCTGACAGCTGAGTGGGCAGTGCTCGGGATTCGTAGTCCTGAGGTTCCGGGTTCGATCCCGACGAAGGCGGAAACAAATAGGCAGTTTCTTTCACCTTGATGCTCCTGTTCACCAAGCAGTAAATAGCTACCTGGGAGTTAGACAGCTGCTACGGGCAACTTCCTGGGAATGTGTAACAAAAAGAAGGCCAGGTCGAGGACCGGGTCACTGGAACGCAAAGCCCCGAAATCATCAAGCTTAACCTCAAGACAACCCCAGCTACTGTTGACACATTTTTGTTATTTTATTCAAAAGTACCACTGTAAATCTCTCTAAAATTTTGTTTTGTTATTTATGAACCAATTTTCATAAATTTTACGTATGTACTTCAAAATATTGCTCTGCAATTTGGAAACAATTTTAATTTTCAAATTATATTTCGACTTAGATTTTCAAAAGTCCAGTTTTCAAGCGAAATGTTGGGTCTCAATTTTTCAGCACCGAAACTTTTTACATAATATCCTCTGTCAGACAGTTTACTTTAGACTGTTCTACTGGTTAAATTCAATATTTAAAAAATCTGTTACATTCTATAATTTTCTAAATTTTTAGATGTTGCCATTATTTTTGGATTTATATTTTTTCCCTACAGTTTCCTTCTGGGTTACAGTAATGAAACACAGGCTGGAGATTCCTCTTATAGGTTAAATTTTGTAAATATAGTTTCATTAGAATTAAACGTTTTTGAACGTTACCCATAACATGATTCAGGCTCCTTAACTTTGGGAACGAGCAGGAAAACAGCTAAAGGATATACTGTACATTTAAGTCTCCTAAGCAGGACAATCACCAGAGCCTAATCCCTCCACAACCATTTAATACACTACATATCTATCAATTCATAGATGACTAACCAATCCTATAATGTATTGTGCTTTAACCCATTAACAGCACAAATTGCATATACATATACAATTTTGGTATAACTAGCTGAACGTCGCACATCATATATACGCTATTTAAAATACCGCATAAGATTTAAAAGTCCCGTTTGTTAAAGGGGGCACCCATATGATAGCCAGGGGCAATAGTAAACAGCCGCCATCTTGGAAAAAAAATCCAGCGTACAATGCCATGGCGAAAAGGCCTCGGTTACAATCAGGACACCATGGGGAGCACATCACCACCTGGCTCATGACCACACTCGGCAAACCGCTCCACCCATTCATTGACTGATGAGGAAATTACAATGAATTATTTCCAGAAGCCGAAGACAGTGATAGTGATAACTGACATTGACTATACACAGGGTACAGATGAGCAAGATACAGACAGGGGTAGTGACATTGTGTTTGTCTCAAGGGTGAGGCCTACATCACCACCACTACCTCCTCGACCTCACTCCACACCACTACCACAACCACCAGATAGTTCATGTGGTTGCATGAGCAGCATGATGTTGCTTTGGGCCACTAATATATGTAAGATGACTCTTTCAGCCTTTAATGATGTGGAATCTGAAAACAGTTTCACTACTCATGTGGCTAGTGTAGTGGTGTACGTGGTGTTACCAGGCAGAGCTTTGCAGCGTCAGCTTCTCGCCCAGCCAAACGCTGCCGCATGGCACCACATGGAGACTGAGGCACAAATACCCTCATCTTCAGTTTGTGCCTGTAGTGGGTGTAGACGGGCTTCAACTCATAGTCAATGGAGTACCTGTATAAGGATTCTTTGCCATGGTGTTGGTGTAACCACCCAAATCACCAGGTGGTGTTCTTGTGATGGGTGATTGTTAAGAATTTTGTTCCACAAATCCCTGCATTTGACAATACTGAAGTACAGATGTTGGTATTACAGACCTTTTTCCATATACGTACTAGTGAGGACATGAGCGAAATGAACTATTTTACTACATATTTATTTGAGGCGCGCATGGAACATATTGTTCAGGAAATGAACAAACACGTGACCGAACTCGTTGAAGGTGAGGAAATGTTACAATTTTCATTATTACAGCGTTGGAAAGATACTACTGTAGATGAAATGTGTGTTTCTTGCACTATGTATAATGATCAAACATTGTGTAAAACATGTCATCGCAGATTATTAGAGCAAAGACACTTGTGTTCCAACACCTGTTTTGGGGAAATATGTGTCTTGTGATTTGTTTGTATTACTCCTCAGGTGTGTTCATTTTGCAAATAATGAAGACCAGACTGAAGATGATAGACTTTGGAAGGTGAAGCATATTCTGGAAAGTTCAGAGATTTTTATGTACCAGCTCAGAAGCTGGCGATTGATGAATCGTTTGTGCTTTCCAAAGGACATGTTGCCTTTAAACAGTATATTCCCTCCAAATGCCAGAGATTTGGATTGAAATTCTTTGTACTCTGACTGTGAAACAGGAATGGTCTTGCACATGACACTATATTCTGGAACCAATGTAGACATTCCCAGTAATGATCAACATGGTTTCTCAGGTAAAGTAGTGAAGACAATGATGTCACCATGGCTGAAGGCCACATTTTATACACAAACAATTATTATACAAGTCCCTTGCTAACTAGCTTCTTGATTTAAAATAGAACTGGAGTGTGTGGCACAGTAAAGGCAAATAGAAGGGAAATGCCAGTGTTTGACAATAATATTGAAGTAGGTGAAAGCCACATAAAAAAAAGTGATTAAATACTTTCTGTGTGGTGGAAAGACAGGCAAGAAGTGAACATGTTAACAACCATTCACACTGGTACAGTGGTCAACAGTGGCAAGAAGAACAAAGTAACAAAATAACAAATATATAAACCAGATTGTGTTATGGACTATAACAAACATGCATTGGGTTAATAAATGTGACATGATGGTGGGCGCTGTCAAGTGTATGTAAAACAGTGAAGTGGACCAAGATGACGTTTCTTCACCTTGTCGACAAAACCATGCTGAACAGTTACAATATGTACTTGGTGAAAACAGGTCGTAAACAAAGTTTTCATGCATTTAGTTTTTCTGTTCTGACACAATTACTAAAAAATTCCAGCATGAGTGCATTGTTTGTAAGACCACACAAAGGAGGCCACAGAAACGTAAATGGGTGCTAACATGGTGCGAAGCGTGTGGCGTGTCCCCTTTGTTATGTGAAATGTTTCAAGGAGTATCACTCTCTCCAGAACTTCTAAAGTACAATAATGGTGCAAAACTCTGTACATATTGAGTGAGTGCATGTATATATTGATGAAAAATCAGAATACATATTATACTTGCTGTAAAAGAAAATATTTGTGTGCATAATTGTGACATGAATATGTGAGTGTGTGTTGACTTTATGCAAGTTTTATTATAATAGAACATCAAGTGACAATATATTGAACAATATCAGTGAAAAAAATTGTCGTAAAATACATCATGAACACTGTAAATAATGCTGTGAAAATCAATTTGTGGCAACTCCGGCTGCTTGAATGCTGCAGACAACGCCACGGGAACGCACACTACATGAGCGAGCAGGTTTGATGACTTCATGGGGAGATTTCTCAGCTCATTCATGTCATTGTTAATTATTTTTTTCCCCCATGATCAGGGAACATGCGATCAGTTTAACACTTTTAAAAGGAAAACAAATGGTTACTTTTTTTTATGTGCACAGCGGTATTGTTGGCTATTAATAACCTATTATTAACCTCTGGGCGGCGCCGCCCAGAGGTTAATAAAAAACTTTGAAGTACCAGTACTGTATCTTATATATGCCCGATTTGCAGAATTATCATAATTATTTACCCAAATACCTGTCTTTTCCTTTTCCTTATATTTGTTTAAATATCTATGAATTATTAAATCAAAATAATGAATCTCAAAAATATAATACAGTAGCTTAATAATCTTAAGTATTTTATGAATAAAATAACTGATACAAGATTAAACTATTTTGCTAAGTTAAAGGATTGTAGACATCAAATTAGGTTCTCCCAAACAACAGAACTTCAAAAAGAAATTAATAATCATTACAGTGTTTTTATAAATTATTAGAATCAAATCCAAAATGTCATAACTGACACCTGCATTTAGTCATTTTCAGGCCATATGAATCTACTGCTGGCAGACTACTAATATGTGTGCTTGCTATGAAGACGGCATCATCACTAAAGTTCTGTCTTGCTAATGTCAAGACTGAGCTCATGTAATCTCACTCAGTTACTGGTTTGATGTAGTGATGCTCAACCTGACAGACCAAATAATGTGATATCATCTACAGCACTACACCAATTTTTTATCATACAAAATATGACACATTACACACATACACACTGTACTGTATATGTAATTATAAAATATATATATTTAAATAATACAGATTTGTTTTATATATATATTATATAATACATATATCACACACACACATTTCTTCAATATAATAACATTTCTTTCTCTAAATACTTCAATAAAAACCAATTACCACAAGTAGTGTATGATTTAATATAAAATCTACTTCTTGAAACCAAAAGCAGAGAAGAGTTCGTTGGTGGCTGCGTTGACTGCAGCGCCTGCAGCAGCATTCGTGGCCGCTTGTTGCACACGCTGGGCAAGAGGGGCATTGGAGGCTCCACCGCCGCCTCCCGGCCGGCTAAAGGTGAAGGAGGGAGGGAGGCTATCAACGGCGGCTACAAACAAAAGGGGCACCACCATCATGCCAGATAAGTGTTAGTAACATGGACAATTAGTAAGACACAAACAACCAATAACATGATCTAAAGAGTTTTTCACAGTCATTGAGAAATGGTGTGTGTGGTGTGTAATTACCTAAGTGTAGTTATAGGATGAGAGCTACACTCTTGGTGTACTATCTTCCCAGTATTCTATCATATAACACTTTTAAACTAACGATGGTTTTCACATTCACTGCCTTCTTTTAACTTGTCCACCATTTACCACACTGCTTGCAAAAAAGAATTTTTTTTTTTTTTTTTGGGGGGGGGGGGGCACCTTTGTTTCCTTAGATTGCAGTCAACCCAACCATCTCTTTCCTGGAAAATCTCTATCAATGAAACCAAGTACATTTATTACAAGGATCTTCCTCTTTGAAAGCCATATACAAAAGATACACAGGGGATGGGTGACCGAGAGAAGAAGGGTTGAGAGGGATGTTTGAAGAAAAAATGGGGTAGAATGGAGCGTATGGAGAGGTAGGAAGTAAATGGTGGAGGGGGGGGGGGGGGGACGTAGTCTGTTATGATGTCATTACTCTCCAGGTGTTCTACCCACATGCTTTTTTTTTATTTTTTTCTAGTGCTTTGACTACCACCCTTGTCAGTGATACAGATTAATAATTAGTGGATCTTCTTTGTTACCATTTTTGTATATGAGAATTGTGTGTGCCTTTGTTACTGTGCATCTGCTAAGATTTCTGTATATAAAGATAAATGAAAAAAATCAAGTGGAATGCTCGGCTCAGGTGTACACTCTTTGTACAAGATGAAACCCCCTCTACCTACCTGCTTGATCATTTTTTCTATTTCATCTCTAGACACTTTTTATATACTTCAATGATGTGCTCTGAAATCCACATTGTGTCTGGTTCTCTGGGGACCTTATTTTACACAAACACACTTTTGGAACTGTTTAGTGTTTCACATAGTTCTTTTTCATTCTCTTTGAATCAGTTCCCCATTTTAAACCTCTCAATTTTATGCTTTACATGCACTTTCAACATTTATAGAAGAGCCTGGTTCTATTTTACATTTGTCTGCTATACCTTTCTCAAAGTTTCTTTCTGCCCCTCTCCTCACTGCTGTGTACTTGTTTCTTGGTTGTTTGTATTGCTGGTATGTACAAGGGTTAGACATCATCTTATACTGATTCTATTGTTTGTCTTATTCTCTGGGCCTCTTGTAATTTCCGATGAACCTGACCTTTTTCTAATTTCGCACCTGTTTTAGTACAATTTTTGTTGTGCCTTCACCATATTTTATATATATATATATATATATACTGTATACACACACACACACAGTGGCACCTCGATTAACAAGTTTAATCTATTCTGGCACCGAGCTCGTTATGTGGAAAACTCGTCTTAAGAAACAAATTTCCCCATTAAAAATAAAGGAAATAAATTTAATCTGTTCCACTACCAAAACATCCATACTTGTATGACATTTTATAATGTAAATATAATACTGCCCATGCAACTATAAATGTTTTGTTGTACTGTTTTCATGTTTACTTTACCTTATGAAGAGTCGTTGCTGGCTTGAGGGAGATGATGGGGAGGTTGGAAGGAGGTTATGGTGTGGAAGGAGAATCCACCTCGGAATCAGGCGGGCTCTCTCTTCTAGGGAATTTCACCCCACTGGGACCGGGTTGTGGTTCACTATCACTGGCTCTTCTTTTCTCTACTTTTGCAAAGAACGTATTTATTGACAATTGTCTAGTCTTTGTTTTAGGATGTTCCTAAAACAAGACAGCAAATTGTCATTAAATATGTTCACACACCGGGTTGTTACTGCTTTATCAGGGCAGCTTTTCCGAGAATGCGGTCACCTTTTCAAACATTCCCTGATCTCACTGGAAGAGGCAACATCCTCCCTTACTTCCTCATCCCCTTACAAATGGTGCAAATTGTTGATGAGGCCCTGCCATACTCCCTTGTGAGATCAGTCACACAGACACTACGCTCATGCTTTGCTATAATTTCCTTCTTCAAATCCACAGTAATTGTGTCTTTCTTCATCTTGACAACACTATCTTTAGCAAGCAGCTTCTTTGGCAACATCGTGCATTGCAAATTGTAGTCACAAAACCACAAAAAAACAAAGAAAAGCACAGATAAATGCAGAGGGATGCTTGTCGTGCACGATACAACAACAACACTGGCGTCGGTGGCGTCCGAGAATTTGCGAGAACCCGCGAGACGCTAGGAAGCACCATGTGGTTTTGCTCGTTAATAGCGGTGAAGCTCATCAATAGAGACAAATTTGCTGCTAGTGGCTCGCTCGTTACTCAAAATGCTCATAGATAGAACTGCTCGTTAATCGAGGTGCCACTGTATGTATGTACAGTATGTGTGTATAGTATATTATATATATATATATATATATATATATATATATATATATATATATATATATATATATATATATATATATATATATATATATATATATATATATATATATAATTTGCCATACATCTCATTTACTACCTTGCCTAATAAATCTTTGCAATCAAATTCATCAAAGGCCATACTAAGTTCTCCATAGTGTGCTATATTGAAATAAAGGTTTTCCAGCATTTCCCTTTCTCCATTTTCTTCTGGATAATAGTACATAGGATATTTGATTTCCATTAGGATACAGTTGCTCTTGCCCAAAGCAGAAAAGTACTGTACTAAATATAAAATATCTCCTTTCCTGTGCAGACGACGAGTCACAATAATGTGGCTGATGATATGATGACCAAACCACACATCAGAAAGTGAGAAAATGACAATGTTTCGGTCCATCCTGGACCATTATCAAGTCATGTAACAAGAGAGGAAGATACAGACAAATATATAAGGTAAGAGAGTGGGAAGAGAGGTGAGAAGCAGGTATGAGAAAGGCAAGTTAAGAATAAAGTATATTTAACGGGATATAATCAACTAAGTGTAATTACCTAAGTGTGCATGTTTATGTGCACATGCACCAAATTATAGATCCATATCATTAACAAGCATGGTAGTCATGGTAGTCAAAAACACTTAAAAAACTTTTTTAAAACCAAATGGGTAGAACACGTACAGAGAAAAGACAGACAATATATTTTTGAACAGGAACATCACGTGTTACAAATCTACTTCGTTTTTATGATAGAGCCATCGAGATCCTACAGTAAAGAAATGATTGGGTTGACTGTTTTGCATTTTCTGGGCGAGCCCCGGAGGCTCCCTGAAACTACCTTAACTGATATGCACTATATTAGTTTGGGGTCATCAGTCACAGGAGTCCTTATGCCTACTAGGCACCACAAGCCAGAACCTGGCCTCCTCAGTGTGGTGCAGGGAGCAATGGCCTAAGAGCACTTTACATTTAAAATATGTCATAATTGCCATCAACCGGGGAAGGACCCAGAAAGGTCGGCGAATCAAAACAGACTACTGTCTTGTTAACAGGTGCAATCTACATTCGAAAAGATCAAAATAACTTCCCTTGAAAGAAATCCAAGAAGCAACACTTCATGCGACTAGCACTCCCACTTGTTAGCATTCACAAACCCCTCCCCCCCCCCCCCCCACTCACTCACTCTCTCTATGAAGGTGAGAGAGAAGGAGCACTAACAAATGGGAGTGCTAGTCGCATGAAGTGTTGCTTGTTGGGTTTCTTTCTAAGGAAGTTATTTTGATCTTTTTGAATGTAGATTGCACAGATTAACCAGACAGTGGTCTGTTTTGATTCACCTATCTTTCCGAGTCCTTCCCTGGTCGATGTTTCGTGGATGAAACAAATTCCCCAGGATGAAAAATTTTCTGGCAAAGATGAGGACAGTAATCAGAGAGAATGTATCTGACTGGAGGAGTCTTAATAGCAGAGTTCCATAGGGTTCAGTTCTTGCACCAGTAATGTTCATCTTGTACATAAACAATCTACCAGAAGGAATACAAAATTATAAGAACATGTTTTCAGATGATGCTAAGATATTGGGGAAGAAGCAGACATTGATGATTATCATTCCCTTAAAACTGATCTAGATAAAATAAGTGCTTGGAGCACCCTGTGGCAGACGGAATTCAATGTGAATAAATGCCATGTTATGGAAAGTGGAATCATAGAAAATAGACCACACACAACTTGCAAATTATGTGGAAAGGTATTAAACTAACAAAGAACGAGATCAAGGGGTGGTTTTGGATAGTAGACTGTCACGAAAAGAACACGCAAAAAACATTGTGAAAGGTGCACATGCATCACTTTTCAATTTCTGAATCCCTTTTAATTATATGGATGGTGAAATACTAAAGAAACTGTTCATGACTTGTGCGAGATCAAAATTGGAATATGCAGCAGTTATAAGATGCCCAAATCTCAAGAAGCACATAAAAAACTGGAAAAGGTGCAAAGGCATTCTGCAAAATGGTTTTTGAAACGGAAAAACAAGAATTGCGAAGAGAGGCTAGAGGCATTAAATATGCCAAAGCTAGAAGATGAAATAAAAGAGGTTATATGACCACCACTTACAAAATAACAATAGGAATCGACCGAACTGACAAAGAGGAATTCCTGAAACCAGCAATTTTAACAAAAAGTGAACACAGATTCAAGATAAGGAAACAATGGTGCTAAACAAACATTAAAAAGGTTTCTTTAGCAAAAAGAGTGGTAGACGGTCAGAACAAGTAAAAAAATTTTGGAGGCCAAAACCGTCAGTAGTTTCAAAGTGTTATATGACAAAGAGTACTGCAAAGACAGGACACCACAAGCATAGCTCTTATCCTGTAATTACACTTAGGTAATTACACACACTATTCTTTATTAAAATAATGTAAATGAGTCAAGGGAGTTAGAGGAGAGGAAGAAGAAGAAATAAGAACAAAGAGCGAGAAGAGATGGAGCAATAAGAAGAGACGGGGGAGAGGGAAGGAGAAAGGAA